TTATGAACCGAACCAGTGTTATTAACTTCTAACCTAGTCTTGAGACATCTAGTTGTTCGGACCGGATCATCTAGATGATCCGCTGGTGTAGAGTTTTCATCCTTTTTTTTTTCCCCCTTTCCCGCTGAGCTCGAGAGCTCGAGAGCGAGCTAGTTAGTAGCATGTATCGATCTCATCTAAGCCTTTCCCTTGTTTCATGGTTTCTAGAGCTTCCACCTCCATGCTAGAGAGTCCGCGGGTAGTAGGCCTCTGAGACCTAGTCTACAACGGCTGGGTCCTTTCGTGCATCCCGAAGAATAGTAACCATGTCGGAGTACAGCTTTGAGTCCTCTTTCTCCCACCGTTTGTCGACGGGAAAAACACACCGTCGTAGCCTGTTGACCCACGGAGCTAAGGGCTTGTAGTATGGGGTGAAATTGTCTTCGATAGTCCTGAGAAAATCCTTTTCATGATCTATTATCCCCTTTTTGGCACCTGCAAGCTTTTCTGTGTTGAGATAGTTCCAGTCTTCAAACCGCTCAACAACTCTTCCCTTCCCTGGGCCCTCGTAGTGGATGCATATCCAGAAGAGCACCCAGAAAAACGACTCAAGATCGTGCATGAAGGAGTGCTTCTCACCGTAGAGCACGCCGATGGCCATGAACGCCCTTGTGCCAGTCTTGCCACGTGCCCCAGAGAACCCCTCCCGTTGTTCCTTTACCGCCAAATCAAGATCGATCAAGAAGGCCTTTTGAGAAGGATCATCATCGTTTTCATTCACCATGAGGTTCCCCAGCGAGATATCGCATTGGATCATCCCAGCTTTCTCATGCAACGACTGATACCCGCGTATACAACCCTCTAATCCAGATAGTAGGAGAACCCTTGAGGTAGCCTTGTATATACATTTGCCGTAATCCTGGACAACGACACGGCGGTGCACCCGATGCTGTACTGTCGTAGTAGCTTTAGCAGGAGAGGACGACCGAGTGCGCTTGCTTGGGGGTAGCGGAGCTTGGAGGCTGTCGGACGACCGTTTTTCTCCGGTCGCCTGTTTCTTCTTGCGGGATTTGCCTCTTATCATCACTGACTTACCTAGTTCTTCATCCGCGACTGCTGTGACACCAAGACCTTTCCGCGCAGTTTCGGTGGTATCGTCCTGGCCGTCGATGCGGATGGTCTGGTGGTGATAGTACCGAGCCACGTTGATCACACCCTTCTTCATCGCTTCGCTGAGAAACTTCCCTTCTTCGTCACGCTCTGGATACTGCCAGGAGTCCTTAACCACAAGCTGTGTCGACGATCCTTTGCGGTGGACTTTCCAGCAGGTAGTAGCCCGGCCGGCGATACAGTGTGCCCGCCCAATTACCTCGTCGATCACGAGAAGCTCCTTCTCGCCATTTCGCTCAATCTCAATGCAGCGTGTACCCTCCATGGTGACAATAGTGGGATCGAACCCTAGCTGCTTTTGGTCCATCCGAAGGAACCCTAGCATCACGGTAATAAACCGACAGCCGTCCTTGTTGATATCGAATTTCTCAGATGCAATCCCACCGGACCGGTCAAAGTGCCAAACACGGAGGAATGGGCCGCAGAGGGTGAATCCGGGAACAAAGCGGCGGGAATCCTGAGCAGACAGAACCTCTCTGACGTATCTCCCCAGATCAACCTGTGCTCCAGAGGGGGTATCATACTTCCGGTCATTCTTCAACTCTCCTGGGACCAGGATCTGCGACCAGTGGCATCGGGTGTTCTCTGTAGCATTTGGGTCGTCAACAAACCCGACATCGAGTTTTCGCTTCGCGGTAGACCCATCCACAGGGCAGGTCGGTTGGGCAAGGGGTCTGCGGTGGATGTTCTGAGTGGGATCACGTTCCTCGGCGAAGTGCACAAGTGTGCCGATGATCTTCACCAGCCAGTCCAACACGCACTTCTCGGCAGCATTTTCCGGCCAACCGGTCCAGCCTCCCTCTTCAGTGTATAAAGGCTCTTCTCCGGCTTTGCATGTGTCGAACACTGCCCGTGCGGTTGAGTCCAGCCCTTCAATCTCGCCGAAAACAGCCTCAAAAAATCCCGGGATGTCCGGATGGAGAACTCCAAGAAGTTCTTCCTTTAGCACTGAATCGATGGATTTTCGGTGCTCGGATGAGTTGACAAGACTGCTGGTGGTATGTGACCGCGGGGTCTGGATGCTCGGAAAGTTGGGACGGGGCGGAGGTGTAGAGATTGTGGGCTTTCTGGGAGTATCAATGAGGTCAAGAATAGCTTCCCAGATTTCTGTATCGGGTGCTCCCCCGAGGACAAGTTGAATGGCAGGACGATAATCATCATAATTGAAATTGGTTTCAATGTGCCGAAATAGAAGAGCCAACTCTGATGCCACGCTCAGGCCACTTGTTCTCGAGCGAAGATTGAATGCTGTATCCTGGCCTTGCAGAGTGCTAAGCAACCTTAGAACAGCCATTCGACAAATTTCGTTTTCTGACTCATTACTCCCGTACAGCCGCTCCGCATCTTGAAGACGACGAAATATTGGCTGAAGAGAATCCTTGAGCGGATACTTCGCTACAATATCATTAAGAGAGGAATCTGCCATGCGTTCAATTTCTCAAAGTTTGGAGACAAGAAGGTTAATACTTACCTCCCTCACGTACTAATCCAGAGAGTGACATTTGCTTAGTTAGTTTCTCCGGTCTACATTAGGTTTAGCGTCTCTTGGAGATGCTATCTCCCTTTTTTTTTTTTTTTTTTTTGTATTCAGGCTCATCCCGATCGAGTTCTAGTAAGATTTAATAGACGAACAATCTACACTCTTTTAGTTAATTATTCTAATCATTGATACACATCGTACAACATACAACATATGGCGAAACTAGTCCGTTACATACTACCGTGCCATACACGCCACATTATCTACATACATTATGATAATGGCAGGAATATATAATCTATCCATCGACCTTTCTTCATACAAAACAAGCATCAAACGCTCGCTTACGCTTGCTTTGCTGCTTGCGCAGCCTCTCTCTACCACTTCCACTCTCTACCTCTATTACCATCATCAGATTAATCAGAGCTGTACAGACTGCAGAGCCGGCTGTTCAATCCCATTCATGAATTCAAAGAGGTGCACATGTTACAGGGCATTTAGCAGCCATGAACACAGAGAAGAGTATAAGAAATGTAAATACTGTAGAGAATGTATGAAAAGAGTAGAATGAATAAAAGAATGAAGATTTGAAAATTGATCTGAGCTGTATAATTTTTGATGAGGTGTCATATAGACTGATCAGTGAGACTATGAATTTCATGTTTGATCTGATCTCATATATTTCTTAGCATGAATTCTGCTGAGACTAATCATCAAAAAAATGTGAAAAGTGACTATTAATCAGATCTCATTTAGTTCTATTTAGTTCTATTTCTAAGAAGTAAACAATCATATCACTATATTGAATTTAATACTATTGTGTTGATATATCACTTGCATGACTCAGCCATCACTTTGATAGCTGAATTAAAAGTTTGTGATTCTGGTGCTTCTTGTCATTAAAATATACCTCCAGGACCTGAATATGGTGCATTCCTAGCACAGAAAATAACAAAACCTGTGAAGAAAAGTGTTAGCATTCTGTGTCTCCCTTTGCAAGGCATTTCTTGAAAAGACACTTATAGGAGCAACAATATGCAGGTGAAGTGACTTCATGTTTAGCCGCTGACTTATCACATCAATCATGGCCAGCAGCTCTCCACGAAACAGTTCATCCTTATTTTCAATTATGCCACTGTACATCAGGACTTTCATATGGGGAACTGTAGCATGTGCTATATTCCAGGCTGCCTGAACCTGCCACCGGGGTTCTTTGGATACATCCATCAGCTTCCCAAATTTGAAGCTTCCGAAACTATAAGTACAGTGGGTGATGAGAAGCTATATCTGAAAACAAATAAGTGAGAATAACGAACTCAACATAGAATGAACCAGGGGGGTTCAGATCCTGTTTTGACAGGGTGCAGTTCTGGAAGTATTGGTTTAGATACCGCTCCTTTTCTAGGGACATTGACATCCAGAGTTGCTGTATACCACCCAATTGCCTCAGGTCGGCATGTGAGATATAAGGGCTTGTTAATTGTTCAAGGGATTCTTTGATGGCTCGTAGCATCTTGCGACGCGAGTTCCGCTCTCGGAGGTTGTCAGCTGCCATAACTCTGGGAGATTTGTGTATTCAGTGGATTTGACCCTCATCAGTGAAAGACTGAAGAGGGTGATTTGATGAGGCGGGTAGGTAGGAGATCTGGGTGAGCCACAATACAATGTTATTGTTGGAGAAGTTGCCCAGCAACAAAACAGACCGAATCTCCATTAGCGGGTAACTTAAGCTGTCATTGGCTGCGGCCACCATTGACTGCTTGAGTTTGCGCCGCACGAACCAAGATCCGGCGCCCCACACCGCACTGTAGAAAAGTGGGTCTTATTGGCCGAGGTTCCTTTAAGGTTCTCGGGTCTGGTCTGAGATCGCCCGTTGGGCCGTGGGGGAGAAACAAACCGACAACATGGAAAAGGTAAACTCTACTCACTTTTTTTTGGTTACTGCAACCGCTTTTCCACGTAACAGAGAGGAGTACTATGATGTCCACTTCTCTATTTTTATTCCCTTATTCCTTCCTAGGAGTTTCAACTGAGCTCCTCGTCTTCGTGTTGAAATCCTTTACTCATCTCAACATTTATAATTTTGACTGCAGGAGGAAACGAGTCTGGCAAAATCGGGGAAAGTTTGGCCCACTACGCAGTATATTGCTGAAAGGGATACCGGGAGTATATAGTTAGAGCAGCAACTTTACGTTCCCGTAAAACGACGTGGGTGCTTGTGAAATATCTCCCACCCCATCCCCTTCTTACGTCCACCCCCCCCCCTGGATATAATGCTTCAAATCTTTCAAGAGCCAATAGACGCAAATCACCTCACGAGCCAGCAGCCGGGGCAATATGACAATCTAGCAGCAATCCCTACGTACCCGAAGTTCCCACCTACCCGAGTGCAAAATGGTTTCAATTGGCGATAAACCCAAGGGGAGCCGAGCCGATACTCAAATCATCATCCTTGCATCAGCTGATCGGATTAGAGAAGTCATCAGTCATTTCATCTCAAGTAGCAGGGGATTGTTAAGGAGAACGTGGAAAATCATTACTTGGGGAGGAAGATTAACTCGTAAGATTAATTGTTCTGTGCAGGCAAATTAGAAAAGGTGAGTTCTAACAGGTGAGTTTCAAATCCCTGGATACTAACGATACCGAATATACTTCCAAATCGACTAGAAGACAGGGAGGAAACGATATCTTCTAAGGAGAAACGACAAACGTGGCGAGTCTCCTTTATAAAGTTAGAGTATGCTAAATATTGTCAAATCGACATAACAGTTCACGGGAAGACTAGCCCTACCCCTTCTAGCCTGACACAAGAGGATAAGAACACTCTTGTTCTAGAGAACCGAGCCAGAATATATAGTTATAGCTAGACGTAACAGTCTCAAGGTAGGTAGGTACATAGATTTATGTAGGTATATAACAGAATGTCATAGGAAAAGGAAAAGGATCAAAAGAAATCAAGAGAAAAAAGCATAGTTATAGAAGAGAATTTCAGTAATGTGTCATAGTTCGGCAGATAAACAGTCGTTAAGGAGAGAGGCAAAAAAGTATATCGGAGAACGAAATGGTCTAGAACATGAACAGGCGAAGGAGATATTGTGACCCTATTAGAAGAATTGTGGTTGAGGGGTTGGGAACGAAGGGACATGAAAAAAATGAGACATCCAATTAAGAAGATGGCGATGCTTGATGGTTGGATAGAGCGCCGCCTCGGTAGCCGCTAAACGCTAGCTGCGTCCTTGGAGGACACAACTGGATGCTCTCGCTTTCTACTCTACGGGCCACAAGGTCCCGGAAAACGATCCTCTCAGTTTATCCCCGCAATACAGTGTCATAAGGGGAGAACACTGAAAGGCGATATAGCAGAGAATATATTCCTGACGTACAAGAAAATAAAGAAAGGATAAGGATAGGCAAAGAAGGACACAAAAAGGAGGAGAAAGACACTTAAAATAACCTCAAAAACGTTTCGCCAAGGCACCCCGAGAATAATGCCAGCCGTAAAAATATCATAAGAACCGTGATCGTGAATCAAAAGGAGGTGGATATCACAAATATGTATGTATAATGTTGTCATGCTAGATGCCTGCAAAGCAGAAAGAGAAGTAGAATGGGCAGACGAGAAATCCGAGGCACGAATGGACGGGCAAGTGCTAATAACTTTCACCCACTTCGGTTAGTTTATTTTTCCTTTCGGGGGGCCCCATGTCCCCATCTCGTCGATCGATACCGGAGCTAATGCGGCGGGGAGCAGGTAACATGGAGGGAGTGATGGTATTTCCCCCCGATTCCCTTTTCTTTAGGCCGCCAGGAGTGGGTATTCCGGAAATTTGGTGATCGCCCTTATTAAACGTGCTGCGTCGTGGAGTTGGGGTTGTAATGTCTTCATTCTCATCAATATAACCCATGTTGACTGAATGGCTATAATTACTCAGAGATGAGCGGGGCCGTCGGCCCTCCGTTGTTGGGTTGGTGGAATAATGACCAAGTGGTGTTCGTGAACCTGTGAAACTTTGTCGGCTTTCGGAGCGAGGTTGTAGGATTGAGCTTGCAGCAACGGGTAATTGGCTGGTTGAACTGCGGCTGGAGACACTGGCTCTACTGCTGGGTCTGCTTTCACTCTGGCCGGTTCGACTTGGTGTCCCTTGGTTGAGACCGAATGAACTTCTTCCATGAGGAACGTAGGAGGATGTAGATTGGCCGTCACGAGAGCTGGCAACACTTCCGCTCGTCCGTTTTCTTGAAGATCTTCTGATAGTCACTGAAGATGGAATATAATTCTGACCTAAGGTTGAGTTCGTTCGGGGCGAGATCTTTGGAGGGGTCTCGGTGGGTGCAGGAAGCCTTGACCTTGCCGACTGTACTCGCTCCTCAAGTTTCTGCATCTTGCCGATGAGTCCTCGAATTTGATACAGAGAACCAGACCTTGGAAGTCCTGGTGGTTGATGTGTAAGGTGTGACCGCGTTACAGAGCGACGAGAGGTGACGGAAGGAGTTGAGGTGCCATTGCTAGTGGGTATAGAGGGGCCCCGAGAGTGCTTTGTCCTGGACGATGGATATGACGGCCTCGATGATTCCGAAACAGAGACTCGGGGTCGTGGCATAGAAGGAGTGGTGGTTGATTTCCCAAGACCATATGACGATTCAGAGAATGGCGGTGAAGGCGGCGTCTGAGTATCAGATGCAACGGATGAAACAGACTTTGTAGGTGGGGTCGCAATGGTCGGTGAGGAGGATGTGGTAGCAGGGGAGTGTTCAGAAATCTCGGGAGTATGGGGCACAGGAAGGCCCGGGGTCAGAGGCGTGAGGTTGTTCTTCTGTCTAAGCAAAAGCTCCGCTTTCCGAAGCTTCTCCTGGGTAATGTGCGCTTCAATTTTGAGATCTGACAACTCGTCCCGGAGACGCTGATTTTCAATACGCAAGTTTTCCCGTTCTTGTTCTCCATTTTTGATTTCTTCCTCGAGCAGAACACCTCGTTCTATGGACACATTGTACTTTGATTCTAGATCCTCCAAAGACGACGTTGTGTTGCGCGCTTGACGTTCAAAATCATCGTTGGCCACCTCGATATCCCTGAGCTTTAGCTGTAAAGTTCGATTCCCATCTCGTAGCGTCGTAATCTCCTTTTGAAGGGCACTCTGCGCAGAATTCGCTTCTGTTTTGGCTTGTTTGTACTTCGCCTATATAAAAGTTAGCGACAACCCGTAAGTTCCCCGCTGACATACATCAAAGAGACCATCCATGCACTTGCCTTCCATTCCTCTACTTCATATCCCGCACTTTCTAACTTTTCCTTCAACTTCCTCTCTCTCCTCTCTGAAGCCTCGATATCCTTCTCAAGTTCAGTCTCTAGCTCCCTACTGGAGGACTGGAAGTCCGCCAGTTCAGCTTCGAGCTGTTCGTACTGTTTTTTGTAATAGGCAATAGCATCTTGAGCGGATGTGGAAGCATTTGGTGGTGAGGATGGAGGTTCATCAGGCAAAGGCATCCTCGTTGCCTAACAGAGTCCCTCAATACTGAAGCGCAGACGTTGCTGAATGCTGAATGCTGAATGCTGCAGTCCGACAGATATTGAATGCGCAAAATGTGATAGAGAGAAAAAAGAGGTCGCTTAGATTCACGGGACTAGATCTCGATAATTGCAAGACCACTCTCGTGTAGAGGACCTGGGTCAATATGCGCCAGTACCAAGGGGGAGGGGTCCAGAAACAGATTGCAACCAAGATATCGGGTTCGATAAACCTCGAGTCTCCGGGTTGTTGTAGCGAAAGGCGCGTAAAGAGATAGATAGGATATAACTTACCTTTGGGGTTTACCGAAACCCCGTCGAATGTCGTCGTCGTAGCCGACTACGGTGATCGATGTCGCTGGTGGCGGTAGATGATGTCGTCGTCTACCTACCATGGACGGACGGCAGGAGGTGTTGATTGTTTGCACCCCGTGATTACATAACCTGTCTCAGGGATCCATGACAACGTGCGCTAGTCCATAAATAGCAGATCCCTGGCAGACAACCCGTTTCACGCTAGTCCAGACCGGGCATGTGAACTCCACCACGTGACTCTTTCCGGGTGGTGTTGCGCGCAAAATCGTGACGTGCACATATCAGACTCCTCCGCAGCAAACGCAACACCTCCACGCCACTGCATCTCCCGCGCCCACGGTTCTATCCAGGTGAGTTTGTTAGCTATCTCGTGTTTCTTATTTATTTATTATGTCCGGGATCTGGGCATGGTACTCCCATTACCTCCTGCACCCATTCCAAGCCGGTGCAGTTTGTCTCCCCAGCCTCTACAGTATGCCCACGCACACTGCTCCTCAGGTGCTCTTCTATCTATATCTTTGCTGCCACGCACTTGGTTCCACTGTCTGTTTACCTCGATTGCGCTCTTGCTATCCCTTCGGAAATCTTACTAACGCCGCGTGGACGGCAGTTGCCTTAGGGGTTTCGCCAGATCTGGATATCATGGCCGATTCATCAGACTTAAATCTCGACGCTCCCAGCGACCTTCAGGATCTTCCTGATTTGTCGATGGAGCTTATCCCTCCCCAGGAAGGGACTTATCCTGATAGAGCCTCTTTGCTAGCCGCTGTGCAGGCACACGGTAAAGCCCATGGCTATAACATTGTTGTCAAATCATCCAGTACACCTACAGAGAAAAAGCCAGGCAGAGTCGCAAAGGTGTGGCTGCGATGCGATCGCGGTGGCCAGTACAGACCCAGAAATGGGCTCACTGAAGAAACGCGGAAACGGAGGCGGACTTCGCGGCTCATGGACTGCCCCTTCATGCTTGTCGCTGCTGGACATCCAGGTATCTGGACGCTGACAGTTTTAAACCCGTCGCATAATCACGGCCCGATAGTGGAAAAGCCCCGACAGAATCCTCACCCTAAAGCCAAGAAGGGCCAGGTCACGGCCACTCCCTATGACTGGCCTCATGATGCGTCATTTACTCCATTTACAACTGCGCTTGTGCTCATTGATATGCAACGTGATTGTAAGCCTCATAATTGTTTTAAGTACTTCCATACATGGATCAATAATCTGACTGCAATATCACATGCAGTTTGTTCTCCAGGCGGATATATGGCGTACCAGGGGTATGATATTACGCCAGCACAGCTCCTTATTCCCAAGTTACAACGATTACTCGATGCATTCCGTTCGGCTGGTTTTCCTGTGTACCATACCCGTGAAGGTAGTTATATATATTTCTTCGTCAACAGCCTTTTAATATATACTACAGCCTGCTAACCAAGTATATCAGGACATCGTTCTGACCTCTCCAGTGTATCAAATCGGGAAAGCTTCCGCTCAAAAAACAACCCGTCCGGTATGGGTATAGGCTCAGATGGGCCTCTTGGTCGACTCCTCATCCGCGGTGAGCCAGGACATGACATCATCCCGGAACTATACCCGACCATGGGCGAACCCATTATCGACAAACCAGGCAAGGGGGCGTTCACATACACCGATTTTGAACTCCTGCTGCGGAATAAGGGTATTAAAAACCTTGTGCTCGCAGGCGTTACTACGGACGGTTGTGTTTCCACTACCATGAGAGAGGCAAATGATAGGGGCTTCGACTGTATCTTGCTCGAGGATGGCACGTCTGCGGCTGATCCCTCACTCCATATGAGCACGGTTGAGTCCGTGAAGATGGAAGGGGGTGTTTTTGGAGCGACTGCTAAGCTCGACGATATGATACAAGCAGTCGAGAACTTCAAAGCGGTAACCGTGAAAAAGCTTGCGCCGCAAATGTCAAATGTTGCCACATGAAAGCGAAAAGAAACAAAACTCGTAAACAACTTCATGGTGTAAATTATAAACTTTGAAACTCCGCCTGCGACTTTAGCGTGTACTTGGAGACCGGAGTTATTAAGGCGCCAACCCATTCCTACCTTTTTATTCCTTCTATTCTTGCTTCTTTTTGCGGAGGGGATAATTTGTTTCTTGTTGGATAGTTACGTCGTTTTCGGGATATTCGGAATATGGTCTTTCTTGATGTTTCCAGCCTTTTGTTTTATGAAGTTAGATTCTCCTACTTGTGTGTACGTTATGTGGAAGCCGTCTCTATTATCATTTCCCTGAACTATTCTATTGCAACTCTCTCCCTTATGTTTCTGGATTCTATCCTCTCTGTCCCCCTGCCTGCCTTGGCTTGGTTGAAGCTGTTGTTTGGCTTATCACATCCTAAGCAGTTGCACACGGCTCGAGGGCTTAAGTGACCCCTCTATGGTCAAATTAGTTATTCCGCCAACAAGAATTGGCTGATTTGGTGAAACAGGAAATATATATATATATATATATATGAACACTAGATAACTTGGGTATCATAACGCAACTCTCGCGTAACACCAAACATGCGCTACCTTTCTCACGCTTTCCTGGATGATAGATACTGTTCTATATTTTTCTCCTCCCACTTATGCAAAACAAAACTCCTGAACACCAACCCACACAATCCCAAACAGGATGCAAGGTCAAGCTCCAAAAACACAAGTAACTCCCAACACCTTCCTAAACAAAACGGGAAAAAATAGGAAAAACAGGAAAAGGCATAGAAAAGTCAATCACAACCACTTCCTTCCCGCCGCCGCCACCCTCCCCCTAAAAACCGGGCTCGTAATTTCCATTCCTTGCCGGTAAAACGGACTCATCACCGTCTTCACCCAGTTCTCATACACTTCATTCATAAATTGCCGGATGGCCTCCTCCGTCTGCGGTGAGGTGGGGTTATTAGCTATAGACGAAGATGAGGTGCGCGAGGACGTCGTGGAGACTGCGGAAGCGGAGAGTGGGCTAGATGTGGCGCCTCCTGCTGTCGAGGATGAGGGGGGTTGCGGGGGTTGGTGGAGGAGCAGGAAGCGGGAGCCTGAGCCGGTGAGGAAGGCGGAGACGTAGGCGGAGGTTGGGGGGTAGGTGTCGATGTGCTTTAGGTACCTGCGATAGAGGGAAGCGGGTGGCGCGTTAGGTTTGTTGTTTTTCCTTCATGCCCGGGACGGGGGTTGGGTGGGGGAAGATGTAGGAGGATTGCGATATGCGATTTTGAGCCTGAGGTGCTTTTATGTTGTAGGATGTTTGAAACTTACATAGCACCGTTGGACCATTGGAGCTCCTCGACAATGTCTAGACTAGCGTGGACTATAAATTGGTTCATGTATGGCGCATTGTCTGGGAACCGGAAGCGGGCGACACCATCTCCGCCCGCCTTGGAAGTGCCGAAGGAGTGGCTGAAGAGAGGGGCGTCGGTGGGGGAGAGGATTGTAAAGTAATATGACATGACTTAACGGCTTTACTGTTCGGATTTCTGGCGTATGGGGTGCGGGAGCAGGAAGTATCTACCGTCCAGAGTAAGCGGGGAGAAGAGCGGGAGCTTGTCTTTTTTGTGCAATCCGAGTCCGAAGCAAAAGGCGGAGGATTGGGGCTCAAGTCATGTGATCTGGGGGGATCTTCCACTTACAACAAACAATATTCACATAACAGGACTGAGAGTTCTTCCATTACTCAAATAGATAGATTTTCTATCTGAGGACATGTTAATTTAATCTTATGTCCATCCGGTCGTCTTCACAATGTCACGCCCAACCCTCTCCTACGGCCTCAACCTCCCAAACAAGAAGCGTCAAGGACTCCCGCTCCCCAACACCAACAACCCGCAGAAGCGCAAGAGGACGATCTTCGACTCAGATTCCGAAGACGACAGCGCTCAAAAAGAAGGCGATGGCTCCGTAGAAATCTCCACCATAGGCGGTCTTGACGACGACGACCACAACAACAGCACCACCACCAGAAACACTGACGACGAAGGCAGGCATTCCTCAAAAAAGCCCGCCACCTCCAAGCTGAAAAACCCACCTCCCCAAACAAACCACTACACAAACCTCTCCAGCCTCCACAGCAGCAGAAAACACGCCCAAACCGCCGAGGCCCTCGACTCATCCATCTATGACTACGATGCCGTCTACGACTCCCTCCACGCCAAACCTCCATCCACCTCCTCGTCTGCCGCCGCCAACGAAGCCTCAACACCCAAATACATGACTGCCCTCCTCCGCAGTGCAGAGATTCGCAAGCGCGACCAATTGCGCGCGCGCGATAAACAACTCCAGCGCGAACGCGAGGCAGAAGGCGAGGAGTATGCTGGTAAGGAAAAGTTTGTGACCGCGGCGTACAAGGCGCAGCAGGAGGAGGCGCGGAGGATAGAGGCGGAGGAGGCGGAGAGGGAGAGGGAGGAAGAGGAGAGGCGGAAGAAGGGGGGTGGGATGGTGGGATTCTATAAGAGTATGCTTGAGCGCGGCGCAAAGCGGCATGAGGAGGTGGTTAGGGCGGCGGAGGAAGCTGTGCGGAGTCGTCCGGCGGAGGACGGGGTGGATAAGGCGAAATTGCAGGAAGAGAAGGAAGAAATGGAAGCGGGCGAGAAGAGCGAGGCACAGATTGCTGCGGAGTTGAATGCGCGCGGCGCGAATATTATTCTTAATGACGAGGGGCAGGTTGTTGATAAGCGACAGCTGCTTACGGCTGGGTTGAACGTCGCGCAGAAACCTAGTAAAGCGAAGGCGGCGCCCGCTGCGGGGGCGGAGAAGGCGGCTGGTTCCGCTGGGTGGGGTGGAGAGGCGAGATGGAGGGGTGTGGATGTTGCTGGTTCTGGTCGTGCGGGCCAGCGGGCGCGGCAGACGGAGATGCTGGCGGCACAGTTAGAGGAGAGGATGCGGAAGGAAGAGGAGGAGAAGGAGGCGAAGGCTGAGGAGTTGGCGGCGAAGATTAAGAGTTCGAAGACGGCGAGTGATGTACAGAGTGCGCGGGAACGGTATCTTGCGAGAAAGAGGGAGAAGGAGCAGCTGGCGGAGAAAGAGAAAAAGGAGTCGTAGAAGAAATAGATTGGTGTTTTGGTGGATGGGAGTATTGGGAGTATTGGGGATTCGTTTCTTGTTCATTAATGGCAGCGAGATTGGGATTCCGCGTTTGCTATGTACACATATATGGCACTTTTTAAAACTGGCCGTATCATTAACGGCGGCCACTGGAAAACGGCTGGGTTCATTTCTCACTACTGAGTCTTAACATGATGCATATTGTGATTATCCATTTAGAGATATATAAACTATATCCTAGCTAATCTAATCTAATCTATCCAACTCCATGCATCCTTATTTGAGAACAGAAAACCCGAAGGAAAGTTTCGACAGGAAGAACGAAAATATATAAATATAAAGATAAGGAGCACAAAAGCGCCGCTGGACGTAATCTGAGAATGCCTGCTCACCAAGTGCAGAAAATTGGACGTGTCTCATTAACCCCATGACCCAAAAATGCTAGAGAAGAATGGTACCATGTTTTGTCCGTCAAGTTGACGATATATCGCATGTAGAGCATCGTAAATAAACAACAAAAGAAAATCATGAATCACATCCCACATCGTGAAGAACGTTATCCCTTGCCCATGCACTATCCTTCGTCTTCATCCTCCTCATTCGGTTAACGCGAAACTGAAGCCCAAGATACCCATCCCCAAAAAAGCAAATGCGATGCAGAGCGATCTATTATGCGACAACACCAACCCTTCAGAAAAGAGTTGTAGGGAAACACTCGTCATCACGCCAGCTGTTGAGGCAAACATGCCCCCGTAAACAGCCCAGGACAGGTTGTCAGTATCATCAACAACACCGTTGCTGGCACCACCACCCTTGGCTATTCCCGCGCCCCATATCCATAAGGCCGCGAGTCCGGCGCCGGCCGGTTGGCTCACACCGCCTAGCAAGCTGGACCAGAGCATAGCTTTCAATTTCGAATGGAGGGCTAGGTAGAGAGGGAGTGCCATTGCGAATCCCTCTGTGATGTTGTGGATGGAAAGCGCCATGAAGACTGAGAATCCTAGGGTCGGACTTGCGTGGTTTGTTGCGTAGGTGATGAAGCCCTCAGGCAGTTTGTGGAGGGCAATCGCTAGTGACGTTTGGAGGCCGATGGCTAGGAACGCGTTTTGCGGGACGTGGTGATGGTGGGTAAATGAATCTGAAGAGTGCGGTGGTAGAAGGTCCTGGTCGTCAATGTAGCCGCCGAGGTCATGGATTCCAAGGGATGCATTTCCGTCTCTTGACACAGCTCTTGACTGATTGATGTCTGATACGGAGCGTGAGAGAGGTTCGGCATTGTGAATACCACCACCCGCTGCTTCAAGGGTTTGCGGGCTTATAATGTTATCCCGGGATACCATATGTTTCGCTCTCCTCTGAGCTACAACTTTAGTGCATTCCTTTCCACATACGTGAGAGATACCATAGCAGGGGCCGTCCTGGTCACAGAAAGGTTTGTCCCCGCGGACAAGAGAGCTGATTTGAAGTTTTAGGCGGGAAGTGAGCGGTAATTTTGAGGCCGGGACAAATGTTTTTACAGCCTGAGTATTGTGGGTAGAAGGCTGGGCGGACGGGACTCCAGATAGGGCGTCGCGGGGCAACAATGACGTACGTTCAGTTGCAGCGGTGGTCGGTGATTTCAGCGCAGGATTGGACTCAGCATGGAAATGGTGATGATGTTCTTCGATACTCGCATTTCCCGTCTCCTGTCCGTTTAGAATGTGTTCATGCGTGTGCATACAGTCAACCACGTGGGATGGGATATGATGATGGATGAAGGAAGAAACGAGCTGTATGATAACCACCCCAGCCAAGAAGAGTCCGATTAATGCGGATGTAGCTGCGCTAGAAGAGAATCCAGCTTTAATAAAGTAGTCTTTTGATGTTGGCAACATGCTGTAGAGGGAGGTGAAAAGCTATCATGGCTTGTCAGCAGCAGTCGGAGAAAACAGCTTTTGACTCTTGCGACTACTCACCAAGACTCCTGCACTCAAACTCAGCGAAGAGGACAGAAATCCAATACTATCGGCGATCTTGAAGTTCTTAAACCCAAAGCAGTTCCTCGCAATGACATCCACAAAGATAATACTTGCCCCCAGCATGCAAGCTAAGCAGCCCTGGTTAGCAACTATGGACAGCAGCCGGGAAGGGTAAAATTCGACAGAAACCTACCAATACCACTGACGCAGCTCATAATCCATCCCCGGGCATCATTATCCAAGCCCATGCTGAGAGTACGAGTAGGAAAATTTTAGAAACCACGTCAACTGACCGCTACACACTTCAACGACCCAGGCCCGCAGGACGATATAGAATTGAACAGAGAGAGTCAAGTCATGGGCTGAAGAATTGAAACGAGGTGTGATAAATGCCAAAAAAGAGCGTCGTAGCGAACAGTATAGATAGAGATTATATGCCCATGCAGCAGGATGTGTCCAGTGTGTGTATATCAGAAGAAGTTCAGTGTCGTGGATGTGATAGATACGAGGTGTGGATTTTTGAGCCGCTTTCCTTCTGCGGATGATTTCATCGCTGGCCGGCAAAGACTACGGATCAAGGCCCGAAATGGCTTAGCGTTTCCTCCAAGGTACTTTGTTTATTGCTGTGGCGGAGGTACCTTTGTTTAGTCAGCGTGATTGACGCCGACTTTGGGCTGTCAGCGGCAAACGCCGGTTCATGATTGGCTCGAGCTCATTTGGATATCTCTGATTGGTTTATGTAATCTTCCCGCGGCTGTCGCTTACTAAGTTACCTGTAGTGAATTGAATTTTGAGATCTCGCCAGACAGGAGATATACGTGACACCTACAAACTACTTCGTTTTACCAGCTGAGCTTGAGGAGGAGGCTGACTCGCTTTTGGTTGTTGTGCAACTGCTCTCGCTATCCATTTTGTCACTCATTTATATCTCACAGCTGGACAGGGGAAGAATAGAACACACATCATGTCCAAGGCGACCTTCGCTATCATCGCAGCTGCTGGCGCAGCTACCGGAGCTGGTATCACTGCCTTCATATACTCCTCCAAGAGCCGCCAGCAGCAGTTAGGCTCCCATACTCGTCTTCCACCACCGACAACAACAACCACTACCACTACCACTACCACAACAATCCCAGCTCCACAACCTCAAGCCGCTGTCCTCACACCGTCCCGCGCTACAACATCCCTAGTCGACCCGGCCGGCCTATTCCAGTATGGGTTCCCCGGCCCAGTCTCAGACGCAGTAACCAGCCTCCCACTCGCCAGCGCCTTCGACCGACGAACCCGTAATCCCTCCTGGGTCGCCGAACACATCACCGCCGAATCTCTCGCGCAAAACAACGCAGACCGCAAACAGAGCACCTTCTACGAAGAGGAGACCATCCCACCAACCTTCCGCGCCCGTCTGAACGACTACTTCCGCTCCGGCTATGACCGCGGCCATCAAGTGCCCGCCGCAGATGCCAAGTGGAGCCAGGACGCCATGGACGCTACCTTCTCCCTAGCGAATATGTGCCCGCAGGTCGGCGAGGGGTTCAATCGCGACTACTGGTCGCATTTCGAGGATTTCTGCCGTCGGCTGACGAAGAAGTATCCTTCTGTGCGAATCGTTACGGGGCCCCTGTATCTACCCAAGCGCGATCCGGCCGATGGGAAGTGGAAGGTTACATATGAGGTTATCGGGAACCCGCCAAACGTCGCGGTGCCCACCCACTTTTACAAGGTTATCTTTGCGGAGGATGGGGCTCAGGGCGGAATGGTCAGTTTGGGTGCTTTCGTCCTGCCCAATGCTCGCATTCCCAATGAGAAAAGTCTGTCGGAATTTGAGGTCCCGTTGGAAGCCGTGGAGAGAGCTAGTGGTTTGGAGTTTGCATCGCAGCTTCCTGCGGATCGGAGGAAAAAGCTGTGCCAGGAGGTTAAGTGTGAGATCCTTGTTAGGCAATTTGCCAAGAACAGCAATAATAAAGCGATCCGCTCTCCTTGAGTGAATGTATAACTCTTTTTTTCCATTTCTGGGATTTCATTCAGAGAGGGTATTTGTACGATGAGACGGAATTTAATATAGAGCGCTATTTCCCAAGGTTTTCGAGCATTCCGTTTTTCGGGGTTATTTCTTGCAGCTTTTGAGCTGTATACATACGAATGAATGTTATTGTAAAAATCAAGAAATGCTGCGTTCTCCATATATCCGACCAACCAGCCAACAACTTGTGGATACGTATAAATACGTATTGAGAACCAACTTCAAAGAAGCAGAGGAGCAATATATGTTAGCACTGGAAGGCCGTGCCGGCCTTCTTCGCCATGTTCTCGCCTCCACCAGCAAATCCCGTCCCTTCACTATTAATCGTGACCAAGCCAGGACGGACCTTGTCCTTGTCTTTATTCTTCTTTCCTTCCTTTGGCTCCTTGCTTCTCTTCCGCTCCGTAACATCTGTCTCGCACACATAGCAAAGTATCCTGCCATGCGTTTCCTTGTCCTTCGCATCAGTAGCATGCGGATCAGGATTTTCATGTGGCGTCATGAATTTGTCCACGCATGGTTTGCATATTACATGCCCACATGGTTTTGTTACTTTTTTGTTATTTTAACTTCCGATTAGTGGAATTCGAATGTGATATAGATGTGCATGAAGTGTACGTGTTCTGCAGGCGTCAAAACATAAGGGGTGGGTGAGCAACCTACATATGGACTTCACACCATTGCTTAGCACCTTTTTGCAGCTTGGGCATATTCGTATCGTTTCACCGGATTGCTTATCTTTGTCTTCGGTGAAGTTGACAGTAATAAGATTTTTCAACGAGTAATTGTGCTTGTTGTCAGGAGTGGAGGCGGGACATAAGGGAGCCAGCTTAACTGGCGTGACGCTGTGTAGATCGTTCGAGGTGGAGGGAGTAAGAGAAGGAACCCAAAATGAAGGAAGCTGGGATTTTGACGATTCACTCTAATGAAGTCAAAGATAATCTGTTAGCAATAACCGCAAAAGCGTCGTCCGTCTATTTTAAAGAACCCTCCAGGGCAGGAGATGGGAATTTTTCTCACCCGCTCTCTCTCAATTTCCTTCCGAATTTTCTCCCGCTCCTCCTGCGCAATACTCCTCATGGTCTTTTCATCCAGCTCAAACCCCTTCCTCCTCTTTCTCGCCAGCTCCCCATTAGAAATTCTATCCCCCCCACTCCAACTACCACCCCTATCCCTATCTATATCGAGCTTCCTCTTCCGCTCCTCCAAGCCCATGCTAACCATTTCGAATTCTCTTAATTCACGCTCACGCGCCTCCTCCGCTAACCGGCCCTCACCTTCCTCTTTATCCCGCTCCGCCAACTCCCGCTCTCGCTCTAAGCGTTTGATCTCCTTGCGTTGGGCGAGGAGATCGTTCACGGCGCATTCGCGGCAGAAGATATCTCCGTTCGTAGCACAGGCCACAACGGGGGTGCGGGCGGGGACAAGACATAGTCGGCATGATGAGAAGGGGAGGAATGATTCTCGGGAAAGACGGGTGCGCTGGGTTCCCCAGGTGGAGCGAAGGAGTGAGCGTTCGTAGGCGGTGAAGTGTGGGAGGGAGGTGTTACGCTTGGAATGCGCCATTGTTGGGACCGGGGGGAATTATCGCTGGTTTAAGGGATGTGCAGTTCTGATGGAGAGTATACTTGTGGTTAGAAGCTTGGGAAGGGTAGTTAGTATTGTAATGGACTGAAGCTAGGTAGTCTCAATGAGGGAGAGCTACAAAATTGCAACCTTGTTGTATTCATTGATAGCAAGGGTCCGAGAAGTTCGCGGAGCTCGCAGAATGACTAAGCTGGGCTATTATTTAGTTAAGTTTTCTTGGATTAGTTTTAGCTCCATAACACGTTGACCCCCGATGTTGAGAATAATTAATTGCAACTTTGCAAAGAACTGATTACAAAAAGCTCCTTGTGAAAAATGTTTGTCTTCTCTACTACAGAAAGATCCCGTTTCTTTAGATGTTCTTGTCAGCTTCGTCTATACTGTCCCGCCACCCAAGAGCGCTCTCGTGTAAGAATTCTAGGGTAGTTTGAATAATCTTCGCCACTTTTACTTCACTATTGCTTGGACACGAAGAGGTTCTTGAAATATGTACAGTACATATGTTTTGATTGCTCTTGATTCCCTAAAATTTAATTCTTTTTTTGCTCGAAGTTGTCTTTACTATATTGCGATATAGGAACGGATTTTCATAATATTCTATGGTTGAAAACCTACTGTTGATCTACTAGATAAGTTCGCATCTTCCAGGATGTCACAAACAGGCGACACTACTAGCTACTACCACTACTAGTTATATAGCAGGCAGCTATATTTGGACAAACTGTCGTTTCATAGATTTACTTGTGGATAGAGCCATAGCATGTATATCACACAGCGCCACAGGGCACTGGGATGTTGGCATCGGATTTGCCCTCCAAAGACCAGCTATGTCACTGGACAAACTACCCGGGGTATTTTTTAACCCCACGAGGGATTTCCATCCATCAACATACTCAGCTGTAGGGATTTTACTTTCATTGCAGATTGAAGGGTTCTGTTCGCCGTGAAAGTCAGTCCTTTTGGTTGGCATCCCGACGGCTGAGTCGGACACGCCAAGACGTGGACCGGCGGAAGGAACGGGATAGGAGTATGGAATCTACATCCATCCATCCATATATAGTAGTAGTGCTGACGTCGCTGGGGAGCGGGAGACGTGTGAACCTCGACTTCACCATTGTCCCGCACGGTATTACTCACTACATTGTCTCTATATCTTCAGCAAACAATGTGCACTGGTGAACTCACATCGGAATTAGTTAGCCCCCATTTCATGGAATCATGGAATGCCGCCGCTACGGATACAGGCCTTCACGACGATGGATCTACCTGGCTACCCTCGTTTTTAGCGTCCTAGGAGGCGGATATCTGTTCTTGCGGACGCATGGCGCTACACATTATCAAGAACTGAAACTCATCGCGCCGTTTAATTTTCTTTTCCCTTCCCCTCCGGAACACGCCGAATGCCCCTCGATTCGGGGTCTAGATGACATCCACGTCATCCTGAAGACCGGCGCGACTGAGGCCCTGGCGAAACTTCCGGTCCACCCCAACACCACCTTACGGTGTATCCCTCACTTTACCATATTTTCCGACTACGAAGAGGAGATCTCCGGGCTCCATATCTATGATGTGCTCCGTGGGGTTAATGACACGATGAAAAACTCGCGTCCCGAATTCAAACTATATACTAGCCTACAAGAGTCAGGGAGGGAGGTCCTATCGACGTGGAATGTGACAGACGATGAGAGCACCCCTCGCGGAAAGCCGAACAATCCAGGCTGGGTCTTGGACAAATGGAAGTTCCTCCCCATGATGCACGAGACACTCCAAGTCCGCGCAGACGCCAATTGGTATGTCTTCATGGAGGCTGACACGTACATCATCTGGCCGAACTTACTCGCGTGGCTGCGCCAATTCGACGCGGATAAACCGTATTACCTAGGCTGTCCGGTGCAGCTTTACAACAACGTTTTCGCTCACGGAGGATCGGGATTCGTTCTCTCCCGCGCGGCGCTGAAACGCGTTACGGAATTCCACTCCACCCGCGTGGAGGAGTGGGATGAATTTACCGCTCGGGAATGGGCGGGTGACTACGTGCTGGGCAAGGCATTAATGGACGGAGGTATTGGCTTGCACTGGTCGTGGCCCATGTTGCAGGGCTCGACGCCATGGAGCTTGGACTACATGTCAAAAAGATATGACAATTTCCCCTGGTGCTACCCTCCAGTAACCTACCACCATATGACTCCAGATGATATTCGGGCGATTTGGGACTTTGAGAGGAATTGGCGCAGGGGGGTAAGTTTTCTTTCTTTTTCTTTTTCTTTTGATAGCAAGATCAATGAATATGTCTGTACGTATATAAATAACTTGGACTCTGATTGGTGGTTATTAAGAAGAATGGAAATACGCTCGTCCTGCATCGCGATGTTTTTCAACAACTCGTCCAGCCGGGGTTCCGCAAGCGCGAGCAAGATTTGGATAATGAGTCGCCTGATATTGTCGAAAACGTGGGGAACGAAAAGGATTGTGCTCAACGCTGCGTCGACGATGTTAAATGCTTCCAATACTCCTACGAGCCGGGAAATTGCCGGACGTCGAAGTTGGCGAAGGTTGGTGTCAGGAAACCTGGGGTTGTTTCAGGCTGGATGGTCGAAAGGATCAATCAGGCGACGAAGAGCCTGGGTTCATGTGAAGAGATAAAATGGATTCGCCCATGAGAGATTATATAAAATCATGTGCCGGTATATTTTCCTATCGAGCGATCGTCGGGAAGCGCAGCATACTTAAAAATTAGGCCGACATAAAAAGCAAAGGACCTGTATAATAAATATAATATAATGATAAAAAATTTAACGAAATGGCTGAGAAATGTCAATCAGTCATCATATCTTGCAGACCAGGTCGTCCCAGCACCGAGGTTCTCCGTAATTTTAGAAGTGCTATAACTACTAGCTTTCAACATTACAGAGTGAGGAGCGGAAGAAGTCAGATAGGTAAAGGAATCACCTATGGATATCCGTGACAGCACATCCAACCAGCATGCGATGCGGGGGGATAGCGACGCAGCGGAGTAAATGGAAGGATGAATGTAAATAATGAGACTTTTAAGAATTCGGGGAGAAAGCAAGAGAAACGCAAGCAGTGAGAGAAAGTAGAGATGCTCCGAAAGCTGGACTGACTTAAAGGCTCAAGCCAGGCCGAATCAAGCGTCCGCTTCAGCCCTTGGCCATGCTTAAATATCTCCTTTTTAGGTCACCTCGCAGCCACAGGAACCTTGAAGAATCTCTCTCGCCCACTGTTGGTTGTTTTTTCAGACCATTCAACTCGGTGATAATATGATACCTTTGCAGATCACTCGTGTGCCCCGGACAGCCAACTAACGAGCTCGTGTCTTTTTTTAAAATCATCCGAATTGCGAATTGCTCCTTGCATCTCCCCGCTGTTCTTGTTTCAACCAAAACGGGGCATTCAAGATCAAAAACTTGGGGACACTACAAGTAGTTTGCAAAGCCATCCGGACTAAACATTACTCCATATGTGTGTGCAGATCTTTCACCCGTTTCTATCTTGTATGTACCCCAAGGCGAAGTGCTTGTGCAGGACGTCGTCCCCTCCAGCAAGCAGCCAGCTCAGAGGAGAGAGAGGGAAATGTGTCCTCCCCGTATAGCGTGTCCAACCAGTCTGGTCTCAAAGCTGAGTTGTCGTCGTTTTCAGCTGGCGTTGACAAAAGCCAAGACTGGTCAAGTGAGATGAGGCTTAGAATCTGGCGGGACTTTTATTTCTCCAGATACGGGCTTCAGCATATGTAACTTACTACACCTCTCTGACAACGGTGCAACAAACCAGCAAAGAACATCGCACTGTTTCTTCAGGCACGCTGCTGAGCCCCGGCCAAAAATACTTCACCCAGCCACCTGAGGGTTAAGCTTTGTCCGAAGTGCTTGTTTCTCCTTGTCATACCCCATGTTGGCTTTGCGAGCGTGAGAGCTTAGCAGCCTGTTTCGGAACACGAAGGTGATGAGCTCTGAGTGTTGTAGGTGGTAGATATGGCCCTTTCTGTTTATAGCAGCCATCTCTTCCTGGCTAGGGTTCGCTGCATGCTAAGCGTTGACTAAAATCCATCATGCAATGCCACGAGTCTATGGAGCAGCCCAAGCCAGGAGATACCGCAACGAGGATAATCTTCCATGGGATTAGTGCGATTCATGGAGGGAGCCTCAGGTAGAGGATAACCTGAAGAAGGCGCTTTCGATTCATGCAATGAAGATCACTTCAAGGCATAGTGTTATACGAGACCTTGGCCCGTTCTGTCCAAAGAAGTGAGAGAAACGTTACATTCTACGAACAGAGCGTTGTTCTCGCCTCTCTCTGTCCCTTGGTGTATGTCATTTCTGCCCAGCACTGCAACTGTCATCATGCCATCAAACCCACTGGTGATTATTTGCAGCTCAGGATACGATACTATGATATCGGCCAGCAAATCGAGACGCAATTCCATTGTACCATGGCTGCTCAGCATCATCGTATATGGGTTGGTGGCTATGGCAAAACATCCTTATGTCCTATTCGAGAGAGATTTAGATTCTCGACAGCAGACCCTCATCCTGAAGCTCAGCTGTCTTGCTCTCGTATGTTCCCTGCCGGCGGCAGAGGTCGATGAGATCGTGCCTGGTTCAGGGGAATCTCCGACGTAGTTTGCTAGGTATCCGACGGCTTCGTACTGCGGATATAGAGGAGGTTCGTATTTCAGATGCTGGAGATAGCATCAAGATGGCACTGCAGCTCGTATGGTGCACTCTCTCGACGGCTTCTGTGATATTTTTGGAAGGAAGACGGAAAACTTAAGGCTCGAAAAGATCATAAATACCCGCTGAAATCCCCCCTTTCGATCAGTTTTCTTTTCTCCATCATCAATAGCAACATCAACAAAGCCAAAAACCAAGAGCATTCAAACGAACAAACTCTCTAAATCTTAACCCTCTTTACACTTTTCCAATTTTTCCAACCCCAAATCCAAAAACCCCCAACCAAAATGCGCTTCTCCGCCGTCTTCGCCATCATCTCTGCCTTGAGCATGACTGCTCTTGCTATTCCCGCTCCCGCCCCTGAGGACCTGGACATTGCTGAGGCAACTGCCGACCTCGCTGCGCGTGATGCTCCAGTGGAAGCTATCCCCGACGACTTCGCCGGTGACGTTTCTGGTCTGGACGATGAGGACGATGAGAACTCCGCTGGTGCGCTTCAAAAGAGAGGCTGGGGCTGCAACATCTTTGGTGGAAATGACTACCGATGCCACAGGTGAGTTCACCCTTCCTTTTCTCCTGTGCTCCCTCCCCTAGGGAAAGATGGCAGTAGCAGGGCTAATTTCTTGGTTTATCAGACACTGCAAGAGCATCAGCGGCTACAAGGGCGGTTATTGCAAGCTTGGCGGCATCTGCAAGTGCTACTAAGGTGTGCGCAGTACATCCCCCCCTTTACACTCGCAATGAAAGCAAAAGCAATAATTCTAATGTGATTGTAGCTGGTTTCGATACCACCAGCCCGCGCTCATGATGAACCACGCTGAGAGAAAACATGACCGGCTTCCAAAAGAAAATAAAGAATAATGGATAAGAACTACTACATCGGATAGATTTTTCTCCTTTTCCCTCTCTTGTCTCTCATAACAAGTATCTGCTTTCCTAACATTTCATCATGTTCTGCATAATTTGGCAGGGCAACGATTTCCTTTTTTCCTTTTCTTGATTTCCGGGTCTTTTTGTCATCCATATACACTCGTCTTCTCCGTCTTGTTTGTTTTTTTATGCGATCTCACACTCGAAATTTTCACTCATATTTTGGTTTGTACTGCACTCGTTAAGTATTTCATATGGCATTCTGTTCAGCTAGTGCCGGAGGAGGGGGGGGCTGGTTGGGATGGCCTGGGCTCGAAAGCTTTCCCGATCAAGTTTTGTATGGCAAACCCAACTCGTCCATAACTGGACGGACATATTTCTTTTACAATGAAATTCCTTCGCTCTTATCAGATCTTTGCATTCGTTTCTCAAAAAAATAAAAAAATAAATCAAAAATCAAATTAAATTCGTAAAACTTGTAGGACAAAACAGTCACAGAAGGAGTGAGTGGCACGGAAAACACCGTGGGCGAGGACAAGTAGCGAGACCGTTTTTGCAGGAGAATAAAATAACCAACGCCTAGGTCCGACCAACATAAATCTAAAATAATACGGCTCGTCACCGAATTCGATCCTGACATGAATTTGGACCCAACTCGCCAAGAGATCTACCAGCCAGCTCTGTGCTTTGCGAGTCGGCATGCCGATTTTCGGCAGAACTTCAAGCCGACCTCCGCTTGTCGATGAACACTTTGAACAAATCATATTATCATTATGTATGCCAAACTCATCAGCGCCCCGGAAATCAATTCTGATATGGGCAATGGAGGAGGGTGCATCTAGGAGGTAATCCTACATGGGTTACAGAGGACAAGAAAATGACATTTTTAGAAGCTCCCTTCAATTATTTTAGTTTCTTCCTGATTTCCTTTGCCCTTTCGAAAGATTTTTTTTACATTGTTCGCTCGAATCAAGAGGTTTCAATTGGATTGAAGAGCGTTTCTGCCAAGTGTTTTCAACAGTCTGTCTCTTCATCAAATTGTGTTATCAAAAATAAGAAAAAGACATCGAGAGCAAAGTTGCCTTCTCCATATCAACTTTCCTAGTGTGTCTCAGCGTGTGGGGTTGTTATTTTCAAATCTATCACATCTTAATTAAGCTAACTGCCCAGCCCGCTAACTAGTGGTGATAAAGCAATCTCGAATTAGGCGGTTCATCCGTTACACTACTGCTATTGCTATTCTTCTCTTGCCCCAGATTTTTTTCATTCCGCGCCCTTAACGTTCTTTCAAACCCCATCGAGGAACAATCGATCAAGTTCAATCAAGTTGTTGATTCAACCTTAAGCCTTTTTCTGCTTTCTGTTCTCTCCCACTTTTCCATCCGCAGTGTTAACTCCGTCTGCAACTGCCTTGCCTTTGCCCTTCTTCTTATACTTGTGGCCGCGTTTATTTCTCCCCTTCTTGGGCTTCTCGTCGGAGCTACTTCCACGCCGGTGGCGAGATTTATCATGCTGTTTCTTTTCCAGCTCCAGTTCTTTCACCAGCTGGTCGATGTCTATTTTGGGGTCTAATTGGCGATCATTTCCGTCCTCAACCCCCATGGTTGTGCCCTTAGCCGCATCATCATATTCGGAAAGTTTAATATAATCCCCAAGGTCCTTTGCATTGAGCATGAACATGATCTCTGTATCCCGCTCTTTATTTTTCCGGATGACTTCTGTATCCGCTTTCGAGGACAATCCTCTCTTCGTACGTCCTGCACCCGCAATCTTCATTGGGTCTCTCTGCAATTCTGTAACACGCAAGTAATCCTTGCCCTGGACCCCCTGAATACTGAGAAAGGAATCTCGAGCTTTTGATAGGAACACCAGTGCTCTGCCAACATCAGAGTGCCAGACACAGACTTTTGCGCAATGTTCCAAAATCCGGGCGAAGCGATTATCAGTCAGGCCAATTGTGAGGTGTATGTCCAGAATCGTGTGGGCCACCTGCAAGATACCAGCCGGCTCATTATCGATGGCGTGTTCGAGGAATATGATTGGAAGCTTTAAGAATATAAGTTCCAGGCCTGCTTCAATCGCAGCGTCTTCTTTTTCACAGAGTTTGCAAGCACATTCGAACCCATATTCCTGCAACAGGAACTGCTGGCGACCCACTCTATCCAAATATAAACTTTCGTACGGGATAGTAATCTCCTCCCCTTCCTCTATGGTTCTACAGGCATATACAATCAAGAAGTTTCTCCTGTTCCCGGTCCCGTCGAATGTTAGTTCGGCCAACGAGTGCTGCGCATTAGGCAGGCAGGAATGGTTGAGGTATGCTGAATCCAACCCCAGGGCACGGCTTTTTGGCGGGACCGGAATAGATCCTCTCTCGAAAATGGCCCCCATCGGTCCCCATTCTTCTTTCGAGAGATGGGGGAGCTGGAAAAATCGGCGACTGAATGCCGGATTTTTAGCAGACTTTACTTGCTGCGCAAGGTGATTGTTGTACAGCCGGACGGAGCCTCCTGCAGACTGGAGTGTCGTGGAGGATACTATGACTTCCTCGCAAATGATACACTCCCCTTCCTCAAATCTCTTCTTCGCGACCAGTCCCAACCCCCTATTCCCGCAGGCTTGGTTCTGATATATCGGGGCCGGGGCATGCTTCGTCAACTTGGCTAGATTAAGCTGCATTTTGGCGTCAGGTTTTTTCTTGGTCTGCTCTTCGTTTCGGAGGCTCTCGTTAAGGTCAGTCTCCTTCCCAGAAAGCGCGCTAGGAGCTGCGTGATTGACTGCGCGTTTTGCTCCTCTTCAGGTTCTAAGATCACTCACACAAAGGCCCAATCGATGCTCGAAGCTCTAAGTCACCTTTGATCTGTAGGTCATTCCTGGGCGCGTAGGAAGCGAAGCCGTACCAAGGCTCTCCTGCCAAACCGGAAAGGAAAGAAAGGAGAGGGATAACTGATATCATTAGAACTGATATGAAAGAAAGTAAAGAAGGAACATTGTGCTTTGTTTTGGTAGTGGAAGATTCCAATTGTAAGTTGTCGGTCAGCATTACATTTGTCACTATGTGGGAAGGTAAACAGAACTCTCATCAAAGCAGGACAAGCTGACAAGTTGTATATCATCATGCTCATTAGCACCTGATAGTGACAACATCTCTGATTTATGTACAGCAGAAATAATATCAGCTCTGACAACTAATTTTTAATGATTTATGTATTTATATAGAATTTGCTTGCATTCCTTTGCCATGTGTGCATAGCTATCTGGCTTTTATTTGCTATGCTTTTATGTCCTGCCTACTCTGCAAGAGCACACAGGAAGGAGGAAGTAAGAAGGATGAAGAGGTTTATTATATGATGATGCCATTAAAAAGAGATGATGCAGAAAGAAAAAAAAAAAAAAACCCCCATTTCTGTAAACTGCTGCGCCTGAATAATCAATTCCCTGAGCCTTAATGCATTAACATTTTCCACCGGGAAATCAAGTACCAGCTTTCAAAAGTTAAAGGTGCACAGCACCTCTTTGCATACACAAGTGAACACTTTGAGAATGATGAAAAAAGAAATAAAAGGAGAAAGAATACACTTTGGATGACATATAACATGTGATCCACAGGCAACATAAAGGCTATGAAGTTATTCTACTAAAGAACTTCTCTAGAATACTACCTGTTCCAATTTCAAAGATAGCCCACAGATGATTGTATTTCGTCCCAATCGAAGCCGAAATTCATATTTGTATCAAGTTCTGGCAAACTGAACGATTGATGCTCTTCCTGTTGAAATACTGGTTCGGATATTTGCGGTACCGCTATGCTTGCTGGCGGATCAGCTTGTTGGGCATATGTATCGACGACCATTGTAGCAGGAGGTTTCAATATAGAACTTCTAGCTCTTTCTTTGATTGGAGTAGTAGAAGGCGTAGGCTGACCTAAGTTGGTATTAAAAGTTGTAGTTCCCCCGGGGTGTTGGACATTACTCAGGGTGAAACTCTGGCTCGAGAGGGCTCCATTCGGTGAATTATTGGTAGTGGTAGGTGATATCAGTGAGCCAACTGGGAAATTGGTGGTAATATTATTGCAAGTAGAGCACCAAAGTTGTTGCTGTCCTAAACACGGGACTTGCTTCCTAAGGGCGTCTCTCTCAGTTGTAAGAGCCGCTATGGAAATTCTCTGTATTGCAGTCGTCGACTGCAGCTGTGCCATGAGTGCATTTTCATTGGGATTCTGTCGCAAATCACCAACGTAGTGGGGGTGCATAGTCGAAGACCCTGAACTGCATGGTGAAGGGTTGTATGTGGTTGCTGATCCTGAAGCATCTGTCCACTGTTGTTGGGGGAATCCCTCCGTGCGAGTATTCAACCGGGCCAATCGGGGTCCAGACGATGGTTCCCAATCTATACTACATTAGTACTCTTGCCAATAGTTTATTTCTGAATATCCGAATGAAGTTTTGTTGTACACTAGTTACATAAGGAAAAAACATAGTAAACCCATGAGAGAATTAGACTAACATGGAGATTGTGGCATATCGACGCCTTTGAATCTCTCTCGCCACAAAGCGGCCCATTTATCTTCTTGAGAACAACGAAGCTTGACAGTGCAATTTTGAGCATGATTGGCTCGGAGTGTTTTATTTCTGAAGGTTCTATAACAATGCGGGCAAACATGCTCGCCATGAACTCGACAAAGGTGTCGACTACCGATCCCATTAGCACGGAACAATTGTAACGAGAGGTAAATATACGACAAAAAGTATTAAAAGGCTAACTCTGAGAAATTTTTCCACGTACGTGAGTTCTGAAATGAATTTGAAACTGGTCCCAGAACATAACAAATACTTTCGATGATGGTCTCCATGATACGTTTGTGGGTCGTACTTATGATAGACACACGCGAATTGGCGTCTAGTGCGTCCAGGATCCGCGCGTTTGAACCGTTTCCTTTTACGGTTGTTGCCGTCATCGTCTTCCTCTCGGGAGTTATTTTCGCTCTCGTCGCAATTCCCATGTCCCTCAGTCCCGCACCCATCTCCTCCATTCCCAAGGGCAGAAGACTGGAATGAGGAATCCCGTGTTCCGTCCCCTAGATAAGACCCTCCGTTTTCATTGTTCGAATAATTTGCGGTCTGTCGATGACTCTGATAGATACTGTTTTCCTGAAGAGGCAAGTCAAAGATTGGGCCCGGATCAGGAAGCTGAATTTCCGCGGAATCACCCTTCTGAAAGCCATGGAAAGCTAGAACCTCAGTGTTAGGAGTCATCGCCGTTACCTGGTACATGGGTGGCTGATCCACCAACGGCGACAGCTCCGTCAGCTGCTGGGGATCTCCTTCATTAAGCGAATGTTCATTGTCAAAATCAGTAGCCCCTTTCAAGGGCGGAGATGCACAACCGTCCACAGATGATATAGGAGAGAATTGGTATATTTGTGGTTCAACCTTCGAGCTTGTGTAGCTTTCTTGTGCCCCACACCGGAGGCCATTCTGATCGGATTCGGTGGCTTCAGGAACTGAGTACTGGGGAGCGACGGAGGCCACAGAGATCCTAGTCTGTTGCAACGGCGTTTGTGTTTGCCTTACTTTGACGGGGCTGGTGTCGGCAAGTTCGTGAAGCGCACAAAATATGTCAACAGGCAACTCGGAAGAATGAGAATCACGAGATGACGACGCGGAATTGGGAGTATTCGGTGTGCGGAAGAAGGACTGCTGTGATGACGGAGACAAGCTCGAGGAGAAAAACGACACGCGAGATGAATTTCGATGGTTTGTTAGCCACTCTTTAGTCCTGGAAAATCTTCCTGGTTTGAGGACTGGCGTTGGTAGAATTTCCAATGAAATTTCTTCCTGATAAGATTGGCCGTTATGGAACCACTCATTGAAACCCGTAAAATCCACAGGACTCGGCCCCGAGAGTCTGCTTTCATCCCTTAGATGCACCATTTCTTTGACAGGACCGTAACCCTGCCACCCCTGAATAGTTACCTTCCGGACAAAAAATGGCTTTCTTCCTGATTCGCCAGCTAATTCAATTTCTCCCTTCGCGTCCGTATCAACGGATGGATCAAAATCGACAGTGGCGGGCATTTGTTGCCAGCGATCCCACCATCTCTTCAACGATTTTGAGAGAGATCTTGAGCGGCGAAACCTTTTCGCCTCTGATGCAACTTCTGCTCCCTGCTAAAGTCCGCTGATCAGCCTCAGTAACTATATCGCCAGCGAGGATAAAATAAAGAGTTTCAATTGCAGATGTTCGGCCTTGATCCACATCTGATATTCAGTATCTACCTTTAGCTCATATTTTGCCCAGTTCGGAAGAGTCTTTTCCAGGAGCGCAGGCTGCTTGCTAGTTTGCACTCGATGGATATTAAAACTGGAGGAAGTCCACCCCATGCTGGATATCCTTACGTTAGGCAAGTAAAATATATTCTGTGAGGTTAATTTTTAGGGAAAGTCTGAATCGTGCTTCAATAGCCCCTTCTTAAAAATTGCTGCAGAACTCATTTTGAAGTCCGTACAGGCCCTTTTCATACCACCTCATTCCCCCCCCCGCCTTGCACTGAATTTAGCATTTGTCCCAGGGCGCACATGATGCGCGGGAGATCTTGACGATTTTTGCCAACGGTCAAGCCATTCTGCAAGCGTCAACGGATTTGGCCTAAAAGGCAACGACACATTTGAACCGGAAACTAATATAGTTGGCCTTTGCGTGGGTAGTTATGAAGATAGTTCTGGGGTTGAGTGCCCCACCCGATGCCTCCCTGCAAAGGTGTAGTTAGAGCAAAGAGAGTTCCGACCTAAACACTCATGGCCGCCCTATATATCATCAAATCAGCAAGCTTGTTAATATTCCTAGAATCTGCCGCATTTCCATTCTGGGTTACATCGAAGAGAATGCGTTCTAAATGTCGGGGTAGCAGGTATGAACTTGCTGCAGGGAGCCAAAAACATCTTCCGCACAGGTTGCCAATGCTCGCCTACAGGCCAATCAGTGCATAGAGACGCCGCCTCATTGAAAAAACTACCATGCGCTTTTGCAACAGATCACCCAGCCAATTGCCAGGCAGATTTAAGCCGGGAGAACTGTGGCCTCAATATTCAACGAACTATGAGGCGGTTTTGCCTGCAGCATAATGCGGGGCGGGACAGGGAGGCCAGTTACAACTCCATCCGGAAGAACCCAGAGACAGTTAAAGTTCCCATCTCTGTTCCCACCCATCTCGTCATTTCCCCTTACTTTCCTTGACCGCAAGGACAAGGCAAAGCTACAAGTGCGGCCTCGGTAAGCCTCAATCGTACGCATCAGCGTACACCCACGTACGTAACTCAGCCGCCCTACAAGGTCTGTAACTGTCGGGGTGAGAGAGGGGTTGACAGCATGATGAAAAAGAATTTCTCATATATTTTCTTTTTCTTGCTATTGGCATTTTCATTGAGATCCGCCGTGCAGCGCAGCCACCAACTGGTGACAACACGCGCCTATGTCGCGACTACGGTAACCGCACATATCAGCTTGGATAACTCTCAACTTGGTTGAACTCGTGCAAACCATCCATATCATTCCGCGCTTGCTTGGTTCGGTGTCCGATGACCCGAATTGTAGTTTTCCAGCTGATGTTTCTCCGTACCTGGTTCGTGTCGTCATTGGGCAATCAAGAGTAGTTTAGTTATATGAGATATTCCGCTGAGTAGTTAACGGCGATGAGGCGCCCAAGGCAGAACAGAAGCCTTGGCGTAGGCGGACGACAAAAGATTGCCTTCAAACGTGAGGGTATTGGGCTGCTGGAAGTTTCATGGATAGTTTTCTCGAAATCGTTAAGGAGAAAAGAGGGAAGAAGAGGTGGAAATAATGAGACGACATGGCACGCCTCGGCGGCTCGGTGTGTCCCTCCCGAGCCATTGACCGCACTCAAATCCGTAACTACTATGTAAATATTTCTCTAAAAAACCGATGATGTCATTCTTGACTCCTGCACGAATATTCAACAACAAGCGCCCTTTTATGCACATACTCATATAACACTGTATTTTGTATACTAATTAGCTCTACTGTATGACATATCCATCAACCTATGCATCCAAATGATAAAAAGAGAAAATGAATTGGAAATGAAGTTCACAAGGTAAGTTAATTTATGGCGAGAGGGAGCGAAAAAAAAAATACCATATAAATATGTACATAAAAAGGAGCAATCTGCATTGTTTATTCCCTACCATTGAACCGAGTATTTTTTCGTTGTAAGTAAGATAAGCATAAGAGGTGAAGGTGAGAAAGTGAGATGCGGACAGACCGAACTAGACAGGTGAAAAATACAGGGGAATGAAAAAGAAATGTAAGTAACATGAAGCTTTAAAAAAAAAAAAAAAAAAAAAAAAAAAAAATGACACTCAGAGCCTAAATAGACCTGACTCAAGTCATGGACAGTTACAGAATCTGCCGGCTTTTATCTCGAATGAAAAATGGTATGCGGTTAGTGTAGATTGAACAACAAAGAAATATGTATAGTTCTTGAATATTTAATGTCGCCTGATGGAAAGATGAGAAGGCGGGAACGGACGAGGGATGGTGGAGGATGGAGGATGGATTCAACGTGAAGTAGGCACCGAAAAAAAAAAAAGAAAGGAAGAAAGAAAGAAAGAAAAAAGAGAAAAAAAAAGAAAAAAAAAAGAACTATCATGATCAATCATCTCGTAATCAAGTCTAATCAAGTCTAAGTATTAAGAAACAAAGTTAAAATGGTCTTCAAGCCGGATATCGAAGAAGAGGAGGAGTAATGCGAGAGGGGAAGAAAAAAGGAGCAAAAAGAAATGTTTGGTGGAGGGGTATAGTAGGGCGAACAGAGGTGCTAGAATAAGAAGATGAGGGGTGGCAATGGCAAAAGTAGGAGGATATCTTCATATATCCATCAAGATCGACGGAGAGGAATGAAAAGAGATCAAAGGCAGCCATTCATGCGCTAACGACTTGCTCGTGAGCGATGTAGTTAAGCTTCTCCTGCGACACATCGCTATGGCCTGAGCTGCCATTTTGTTTGAGAGGAGACGAAGATTCCAGTCCTGCAGCGCTAAGATGGTTGTCTGGGCTGATTGAAATCTCCTTCGTGTCTTTGCCATCCTGATCCTGATCGGCTGGCGGGATCTGAGTGGCTGGGGATTGTTGGTCAGGGCTAGGCCGAGTAGTATCACTCTCTTCCTCAACAACAGGATCAATTGCATTCGGATGAGTTCCAGTAAAAGTCGACTCATGCGCCTCATTGAAGGAGATGGCCCCCTCGGGAGTCTCAGCAGGCACTCCAGGCGATGTGGTTTGATTCTTCAGGCTCCTGGCAGTCGCTGTGCTAATTGATCTGAGAGAATTTGGCCGCCTACTAAACGAAGAGTCCGAAATGAGCGACTCAGCACCGTCGCCGACATTCAACGTGTCAGAGCCCCTAGAATCCTCATGTTGCATTGGCTTTCGCAGCTTTAAACGCTGCTCGTGAGACATATTCTGCCATTCCGACCCGAAATTGACAACAGATGCTTTTTTACCATGTAGAGTGAAGCTGCCGGTCCCCCGGCTAAGGCTTTCGCTTTCAGCAATGGAGGAACCATCGTCAGTCCCTGCAATGCTGCTGGCTGGTTCTCTTCCTTTCTTACTCCGATGGTGATGAGGAATGTGGTGGGCTTCCCGAAGACTTCGATGTAAACTTCGACGGACCTTGCCCCGGTGCTCAATGGAAGTAGATTCTTCCGGGAGCTTGTCCATATCGCCATCATTCAAAAGGTCAACGGACTTCGGTGTAAGGGGTGAAGGGTTGTTGGTAAGGATTCCAGCTTCCCGTAGGAAACGCTCTTCTTCATCATCCACGACGCTAGGTACAGGGGTCGAGCGACCAGATGACGTAATTGCACAACTTGAATCATCAGCCTTGTTGCTGTGCACAGAGGTATTGACGGACGGTTGACGAAGTGATGAGTTCCCGCTAGGGTCGGCAAACGAAGGAAGTAAGGAATCCTCCTTCGAACTCGACACTGTATGTTTCTTTTGCATTGGACTTGTTTCCGAAGTGGCCACTGACTTCTGTACACTAGGTCGCCTTTGCCGTGGAGAGACAGTTTGGGCTTGTCGATCTACGCCACCGTCCAGGGATACTGGGGTGACAGGTCGGGCAGGTCCAAAGGAACTATCACTTGTGGGGGATCTAGGACCATGACTCGAAACCGAGTCCAGTTTCTGCTGAGCCTGTTGGGTGGAGGGTGGCTGTGACAAAGAATACAGAGGATCAAGATTATGCTTCTCAAGACACAGACGTTCTTCGACTGACAGGTCAAGTGAAAGCATCTCTCTGTGACACCTCGTTCGCGAGATCTCTAATCTGGCCCACTTGATTTTTGCCGATATTCTCCCAGCGGCTAGGATAACCTGATCTCTCGCTCTAGGATGAATTGGCGTCAAAACCTGGAGGTGGCGCGCATTTCTTAATAAATCATCAAGCTCCTTTTGAGCAACAGACAATTTGTCGCTTGCCTCCTTGATTCTTTGTGACATCAATTCCCGACGTGCCACTGAAACTTCTTCGATTAACCCAGGGTCAATTTTACGATTGATCGCTGTTGGCCCAGGGGGCGGGACATTTGACATTTCTGAAGTTGTAGAATCCGCACGAGTTGACCTTCTGTCTCGCTGACCTTCATAATTAGCCCCAATCATTCCTCGCATTCTGACCCCTGTCGTTCGGAAGGTCGCCGCGTAGTTGAGCGTCACAATCCAGTCATGCATCTCGGCCTCACTATTGGCGAGAAATACCTCTTCGAAGCCACCATGGCGGACTAGAAGGAACGCGTGTTTATGTTTCTTATAGCTAGAATCCAATAATGCGACAGCATCGTGAGTTGACATGACGGCGTCAGGTTTAAAGTCCGTAATAGGAGGTTTGAAGATGACAGCACGGCGCCGACCGTATTTGTCGAGCGATTCACATTGAGCAATCAAAGATTTCACCCACTGGATATCTCGGAAAAAATATAGTTGCGAACCCGTGAGTACAGCTCCCCATTCCTGCCAAGGTGACCTAGTTTTCTTTTTCTTAGGATCCTTTCGCCACAGCAGACCAACTTTAGCAACCCTAATATCCACAAGGCCAGGATGTGATTCTGAAGGATTTGCAATGCTACTCGTGGTCAAAAAGGCATCAGGCCGGGACCTGGCGGAAACAATCTGCAACACCGAGGATTTATGGAATGTGTGGTGCAGAGCATCCATATCAGGAGTTTGGCCAGCTGCGAATGAGCTATACGGGTCTTCCAATTCCATGACATCCTTGAGATTGGGCCGGAGCGAACCTAGTTTGCCGTCTAATATTAGAGCATACGGGTCAATCGGATCGCGGGAAAAGCTCGGCAGGTTATCTGCGCTGGCAACTTTGAGCAAAGGTTTGCGTGTTTTCGGGGCCATGAGTCTGCTTAGGTTTAGCTCATCTTCGACGTGGATGAATGGTGTGTATATTATGTTTTCGTAGAAGCATTCAAGTATTTCTACAGCTATCCCTTCTCCTTGCGTGTTCCGAACATAGTCTGGCTTCTGCATTTTCCTCTTATTGTTTTTGTTGAAGACGTCTGTATGCAAGATCAACAGGGAAAAGGCGATGAAATAAGCTTGTTCTATCAATTTGTTAGCGCACGATCTTCAGAGAAGACGGTAACTACAGTAAGATATCCTACCTGTTGAGGAATATATGCCTGGATTGCACTCGTGATAACGATCCGCAAAGCTTTGGACGACTCGATCAATTTGCTGCGTCTCTTTTGGCAGCTCGACTTCCATAAGGAGCTTGCGGATTGCCATATCAATAGGGTCGCCGAAAAATGAAAAACCACGCATATACTTCCTTAAAGCTGTCGCGTAAAATTCCTCAGCAGATTGTGATAGGATGCTGGCAATCGTACTACGACGAACGGCCCCTTCCAACCGTGAAAGATAGGCGGCTGGCGTGTCATTGTCTTCCCTGACTGGGCATGAAGCCGAGTCCCGTCCGAGGGAGAACGAATTAGATTTTGATGCGATTGATGCAGGGGTGGCGGGTGCCCCAAAACTTGGAGAGGCGTTGCCTGTCCCGTTTTGATCATGGCTATGTTTAAACCGGGATGGAATAGCGAAAAAGTCACCAAAGCTCCTCCGTCCACCGGTATTCGTTGGAGTCCTGCTGGATGGAGCAAGATTGGGTGACGAATGATGTGGATCATCTTGAATATCGGGAAGGGAGCCCATCGTCGATGACCTCCGCCTCCGTGAAATTCGACCCGGCGCATTAGGGAAAGTGGATGACCTTGCAGAGTGCGCAGACGCGATCGAGTCTTTTCGGAACAAAACCGTGCCCGGGGATGAAGTGCCTGGCGTTCCAAAACCCAACGAAGACTGGGATGGCGAAGGAAGCGAGGGCAGCGAAGGTGCATGTTCACCATTATGATCAGTGGAACTGTGAGGTTTCTTCCCGCCGCCAGTCTGAGGCCTGTTGAATTCCGATGACTGCGAGGCTTGCCCTTGAGGCGGCAATTTTACGGGTAACGGGAATAGTGGACCTTTGCTGCGTTTCAGCCGCGGTAGTCGGAAAAGAGAGCTGGTGCTAGCAGAAGCGCCATTTTTCGAATACACCCCATACTCAGCAGAGCTACCGTCTGACCTAGAAGATTCTGAAAGTCTCGCACCAGGTAATAGACCACCATCGCCATGTGCACGGACAGGCCCCCCGCTCCGTATCGAGGTCGTTGAGAGCCTCCCAGGTTCTTCAAAACTTAGGTGAGAAGCTCTGAGGCTTGAAGGGGCGGTTGGCCAGTTATCCACTCCAGCAAATTGTCGAACCGAACTTCCGTTTGAGGCATTGGAATTGTTTGGCGTATGGTTATAGTTTCCGGGCATAGTTGCCGCACGTTCCGAAACAGGTTTCTCCGAGCTCGGCTTGAACCTGCTCTTTCGTTTCGGAGCAGGTTTCTGGATGGGAAGCGTCGGTGATGTAGTGATGATTGTAGGCGCTTTGGATATTAGAAAAACAACAATAGTCAACAAAAATGTCTTGATTCAAATCGATCATTTAATAAAATTGGGCTGGTTTGACTTACGAGGGGGTAACGAAGGCACTGGAGGGGGGGTTCCAGCCTCGTTATATGAGGCAGACAGTTGGGGATCGGACGCATGTCTAAAGCGCATCAAGCTGAATCTGTTGCGTAGGGTCATTTGTTGTTTGGCATTGTGATCTGATGTGCTTCTGGAAGCTGCTGGAGGCTCGTCAGGTGGTGGGGAGGAGGGTTCCACGACCTTGGATTCTCCGACCAGCGGCGAATTTGCAGTCGACTCCGAAAAACGTGGGATTAGCTGACCCATTGTGAGAGGTGAACGGGGAATCTGTTCACTGTGACGCACAGGAACAGGTCCAGGACTAAGGGATTGTTGCAGTTGCGAATCGTGGTCATCAGTGCCGCCAAGGCGAAACCCTTTCCATGTCATGATGTAGGAGAATTTGCCCATAGCCAACACTCTCAACGGGTCATGGCATGTGAGGTAGCAAGCAAACCACTATACCATGGCTAAACTCTCTCCAATGGTATCCTCATGGATTCTCTGGCCCTCGCAAGCTGGCCAATTCGTTTGTCCAGGCCCGGTGTGGACATGGGAGTTTACATTCAGCAGGGCTGTACTGAGAATCGTGGAGATGACAATTAGACGAATGGCATTGCAACAGATAGAAGCAGATAACGGGGAAGAATAAGTTATATCCACGAGAGTCCAGTGGATGCTCCAATGTGACGCTTTGGCAGGGTGTGTCTTGTCTGTCCTCTGTCGTCGCTGTCGTTGTTGTTGTTGTCGTCGCAACGTGGGATGATGGATGTCCATTATTCCAGGTTGAGCCTCCTCCTCGCAGCAACGTAACGTAATCGGCCAAAAAAGGGAGGGATTTGCCAAGACCAGCGGGTTGCAGAGGCTCGGCGCTAGTAGCAAAACGGGGAACCTTGGTTCTGGCCTGCTAACAATAGATACTTATTAACTTCCTACGCAGTATGAACAATTTTACAATACAGCAGCGTGTCTCTCTCAGCGGTGTCAACCGTGGCTGAGCATTATTATTATTGATGTTTGCTCCCTCCTTTGGCCTGAGTAGGATCATGCCATGTTATCTGGAGTTGAGGAGAGAAACCTTCAGGCGCGCGATTGTCTCTGCACTCATGCAATTTTCCCCGCCTGCGAATGGCTGCTTTCCGGGCCGCTATGCTATGGCTAATTGGGCCTGGCTGTCAGCTCTGGCTTCGGACACTTACAGCGTAAGGGCCCATTCAATCGCGATGGAACCTGAGTCAATTGGGCCTAAAAATGGAAACATTAACTATTCCACGAGAGCCCCTCAGGTACGAACGACGCTTGAGAAGTCCCACAAGGCTGCATGAACTCACATTGCCCAATTTCAATTAGGAGAGGGGAAATTATTGTCATTGACCAACTTACAAAGTATGTATATAGTTACACAGAGCGGCTGCCCCTTGAAGGAATCTCCCATCTTATTGTTGAGGCACACACAAACCCACACACACACACACACACACACACCCGGGAACTTCTAATAATCATTCTGGCTGCTGTAGGAACATTGGAAGCACACGCCGCCACATTGCTTCACGGAAGATCATAGATGAAAAAAAAGTTCATCAAAGCTATTGCGAGTGAGACGGATGTGAGCTTTTTACAAATTTAAAATGTATAGGCGAGGTGTCTTCCGCAATACCCTTGTCGAAATTTAAGGGAGTGAAGTGAAAATAAGAAACTGAACTATTATTTTGAGGACCTGTGGTTAGAACAATGAACGTTCACAATTGGCTTGTTACCATCAATTGGATTGTGGACATCCTGGCTCAGACATATCAAAGAAGAGATATTATTATGACATAAAGGGAGTTTTTCGCAACTTCTGGATGTTGGTTGGTGATTTCCTAAATATATCCACCCCAGAGTAAGAAGGGGATATAATGAGAACTCTGAATGGTTTGATCGTATACCTGAGCAGGAAGTCTATTCTATTCTATTATTTATCAGGGGGATGAATATGCTTCTGGGAGTGCCTTTTTCTTCGTTCTCCTGTTGCTATTGTTGCACAACGAAGTTTCTCGCCCTTGATAACGTTGATCACCTGTGGAAGTAAGTGGTGGATGTGAAAATCACCAACTCCTCACACTAAAATGGCCAGTAAATATTTAAGCCGCTGGTTGACTCTAAAATCGGCCACCACTCTCCCATCCCAGCTCAGCAGTTGCATCATCACACAACACACGTCGGGGACCGAGCTATAATCAAGTTATCCAGATAAATACTGCTTAGACAAGCGACCTGACCCTTTGGGACGACGCATCAGCGTCCTGAAATAGGCGTGGGTCGTGTTCAACTTCTCCAAGTGGAAAAAACTCCGAACTTTGCCAGCTGTTGATCCTGTGGTTATGAGTATGATCAGGCCGGATGCACGCAATTAGCTATATGCTGGATGCTTCTGCTAAAGTTGTGAATTTCGTGGCTCCCTTTACATGACTTCAAGCCTTGAATCCTTCAACCGCACAGGCCAAATAACTCACATCGCGAGCACTACAACACGTCTATCGATGGCATGTCTTCGCCCGTCGTGAGTAACCCAAGGAGCTCCATGGCTGTCGCTGATAACTCTCCGGAGGTAAGTATCTGCAATGCCATACGAGAATCACATCTTTATCCCTATATTGAAATCTATATCGAAAGGGTACGCGCTAAGCCTCATACAGGCCAGCGACTTTGACCTCGCAGAGATCTGGGAAGCCATACTACGACCCGGCGCAGCAGAGGATGAGCAGTTTGTAATCAGATACTACAACTGGGGCCGGCCGCTCTCCATCCAAACTCTTTTCGGACACCCTCGTACATGGATGTCATGGAGCTATAGAGCTGCTTACCCCAAACTTTCCACACTCCTGGAACAGACTTCTTTGGAGAACAAATTACGCTGTCGTGTCAACTTCGAGGAACTCACAATAGATACCGATCGATATGTTCTTCGAAAACTCAGTTATAATGAAGCACACGCTCCCTTATCCGTAATTTTTGACTCACTAAGGGAAATTTCGTCTCAGACGACCGGCGAAAGTCATTCTGTAAAAATTAAAGGCACAGCACTTGTTAAGAGGTTTGTCCGGATACTTCAACTAACAGATATTTCGCCGTTGGTGCTTAATTGCATTTTTGGGACGACTTCAAGGTTTGCCATACCCCTCCTGGTCTATCACCCAGCGAGTTGCCATGCTTATTAAACATGCTTTGCAGTCTGGATGTCAGTCATGTCGCAGCATTTGTTGATAGAAACCTAAACGGCTTGAATTGGGCAAAGGTGAATCTTCTTCAAACGCGAAACACGGTACGATTTACCCTAAGGGGAGGAGATGCTGCAGTCAATATCAAGAACATATGCCACATGTTAACGATTTCCCCAACCCGTCACAGGGCTGGTCATCATATGTATACGAATACCATTTCTCCTTCTACTTTGTCACATTGGACTATTTCGAACCCGACACAGTGAAGCCCGATCCACGCAAAATTCGAAGATCATGCTCATTTGGGAAACGAAAGGGTACAAAGCACCGTTATATACACGAAGAAACAGTTTCATTTTTATTATGCGGCCATTTTGACGATGCTTTTACTTGTTACCAGCTGGGCGACACTTATTTTAAACCCCGCTATACGAAAGACACAGGCCCTCGATTCTTTCGATCTTATGATCCTAGCCAATCCCCGGGACAGCTCCTGCTGCATTGGATCGCAGTGGCCCTATTTCATGCCAGATCAAGGTGGGAAAATGCCATTGACTCCCTCCAGTCGGAGATTAGAGCACCGGTACTTCAAACCCCCAATTTTATTTTCTTATAAAGTTCTTGTTCTAACGCCCCTGATATTTTAGTCTGATGTCGTATTCATGGAAGACAGAAGTGGTTCGTACATCTAAACGTACAGTCGCCTTGTCTCATGGGTTCTTAACTGTTAACATTTGGCAGACCTGATGGCAGACGATCCCCAGTTTTCCCTGTCGAAAACATATTTCTGGGCTCTTCAAACTTATAAGCTGTTCGAGGTACGTACCAGTACGGATGAGCCTCAATTTGACTTGTAGATATATTCTAAGATTAACAAAATATCCAGAGGACCCTTGAGCAGACAATCACCACATGGGAAACTTTCAAGATTGATTCATTGCCAAAAATCCAGGATGGAAGGATAAGTCCCGAAAATTGGGATGCCAGCGTCAGCAGCATAGACCAGTCAATCGAACTTCTAAAGCCCAAAATAGATCGTATTAAACGTGGCATGCAAGACGTGCGGGATCTCCGCGAAAGTGTAAGTCCTTCTTTATGTAGATTATTTCAAGGGTAACTAACTCATCCAGCTCCAATCAACCGCTGCTGTATTCGATAGCCGAACTGCAGTTCGCCAGGGGGAGAATATTCGCCTATTAACGTACATCACGTTGCTATTTCTTCCCCTTTCCTTTGGCACGGTGGGTAGTGTTTTCTCTCCTACTGTTTTTCCATGTATGGTAGTTTACCCGTTCATATAGACTAACTAACTCTTCAAAATACAGGGCATCTTCAGTATGCAACTGATTGAGCCAAGCGCAACAACTATAAACGCCTTCGCCATCACCTTACCAGTCATCACCATCGTCAGCGCCCTTCTAATATTCAACCTCAACTCGCTAACAGCCGCATTTGACTCTGTAGTTCGCAAAGCCACATTCGGTCTCCAGCGACAAATGAGACTCCATCACAGGAAAGAATGGAAACATAGAGCCCTCGCATTACACCAGGACGATATAAGTACGGAGCCTCCAGTACGAAAAGCTTCTAAAGAAAGCAGTCACTGGGTGTATATCCTTTTCCTAATCGAGACGGCTGTGGTGGTCACCCCGGTTTCTGAGCTGAATGCCGCACTTAATTGTTACGGGCTTTTCGGTTTCGAGGGCGAGAAGGCAGGCGAGGGTGAGGATGATGAATACTCGGATAATGAGGACGCAAGCACTCATCAGCCGCGAAAGGATAGGCAGAAAGAAGTCCTGATGAGAGTGAAGAGAGCTGCACGAGAAGCTGAAGAGCAGGAACGTAAACGGAAAGATGAAGAGAGTGGTATGGCCATAGGGCTTTTAAGACGCTTTTATAGGTACATTCGTCATCTTGGGAGGGTGCTCGGGCATACTGTCCTCACGTCCTTCAGGATTCTCTTGTTACCAATCTGGGTCGTGCTGCTGCTTGTCGAGTACATTTTGACCGTACTCACTCTTACACTGCTATTCGACCAGCCGCCTTACCAGGCCAACCCAAGCTCAGCAACCCATGGAGAGGAATCACCAGAGTCCCATCCAAGCTCACCGTTCGCCCGAGCATGGCACGCCCTCGGCCTGAACACCCTGACCCTTCCAACTCGACACCACCATCCGCATGATCTTTCCTACTGTCCCAGACTCCTTGAAACACAATCCCACGAACACGCTCTCTCACGCATACAAAGTGAAGAGCAAGCCCCGAGGCTAATAAAACTTCCAGCTCTACAACGGCCAGCCCCTGCAATCACTAATAATGAAAGGCGCGAAGCCCGTCACACCGCCAAGCGCCGAGGTGAACACTCGCCCGAGAGGACACTCGACAGAATCTCAAATGTTGAAGTGTCCGTATTCGATCCGGCACGGTCGCGTAGGACGGCGAGGTCGAGGATATCCAGGGCGGTAAATGCTGCAAGATATGAGGCTGGGGTTGAGAGATAGACGCGGTTATGAACTACCATAGAAGATGAGTGGACGTGGAATAGCTGGAGGGAACGACCGTGCTTCCCCCCGAGGGGGGAGGGGTAGCGGGGAATTGCGGAAATTGGTGAACCGGGAAAATGAGCAAAGGACAGCGCCAGGGAGGTGAGGAAGTTGAAATGTCACGCATATATGATAAATCAAGACGCTATACTCTGCTTCGGATATCGTGCAGCAAAATTCTTATTATAATTCACGTTAACAACCTATAAGACACGGGTTCATTATCCAATTCAATTAGGCCAAACGGGTTAATTATTAATACAATAACACCTGTCAAAATTCGTGTTAGGAGATTGAATGAGAAACGAATTACCAACGCAGTTAAATGCCGCGGAATAGGTAGATAGCAGACTAATAATAATAATAAAGGGAAACTTAGCAAATATTTAAACCAATGGTGCAGAAGGAAAACAAAATATATGCCCAAAAAAATAAAAATTAAAATAAAATAAAAATTAGTAAAGATCCACAATATATGTATATCGAAAAGAAAATCACAGGTCGTCAAAAAATAGTACAGCCGAGTAGGGTATTCGGAAAGAGAAAATAGATGCGAGTAACAAAATCATTAAAAACGGGCTTCCATATACCCGTTTCTTTAGCATTCGGTAGCATGAGGCATGAGCGCTGACTGCAGTCGATTAATCCGACAAATTCGAATTTACCGTTTCCGCCGTCTGCGGAGGCCCCACCCATCATCATCGTCATCGTGATCGTTATCATTTTTGTACTCGTCCGGTATCCATGAGTCATCGTTCTTATCTTGTCCATCCTCCTCCTCATCATCATCACCGTCATCAAGGATAGGCTTATCCGCTTCGTTGAGGCGCTGAAACTCAGCCTCCCAATTCAGTCCCTCGAAACCATCAGACCCCAGCAAGAACTTGCCCAAAACCATAACCGCATTGAACACCTCCTTCCCAGTGGGAACGATATTTTCCCGCGGCAACAGGAATCCATAGCTGCCTTTATCACGCAGCTTGAGCTGGTAGGAGTATTTAACACCGACATCGTTGTAGAACCAGTCAAGGGCACTGCCTCCGGCACTTTCCATACGGGGGAATGTGTCTAATTTAACTTTCTTCTGGGACGCCGTGAATCCCTGGCAGGCAGAGCTTACGGTGTAGGATTGTCTGTTGGTTAGACGAATTGCCTTTGCAATGCCCATGGCTAGCTCTTCAAGATTCTCCAAGTTGGGCGGCCGAGGCAGGCAGGAATATGAGTACGGATAGAGGACTTGTTGAGAGTACGAATGGAGATCCAGGTAGGCAATGAATTTGACGTTATGCTGTTCTGTTTGCTCTTTCACCCATCCTGCTAACTGGCGAGCTTCAGTTCCCGCAAATGGCTCATCTCCACCGTAGCTTTCTGAGCAAGGGTTATCCCCGGTAGCGTTGCCGTTCCATTCGAAGCCCCATGTACGATCCAAGTCCACGCCGGGGCAAAATGGAAGGCTTGTTTCCTGTCGGTTCTTCCGCCACAGGCGATCAGTTTCCCATGTGTGCACATAGCCGTCGGGATTGATGGTTGGTATGAAAATAAAGTCGAATTGTTCCAGGAGTGTAGAGATGGGTGTGGATTTTCCGTAGGTGGTGATCAAAGAGTATGCTACATAATTCACTGTTGAAACTCCGATCCATTCCCTCGCATGGGAACCACCTCCGATTATGACGGTCTTGCGAGGCTTGGGGTCATTAGCGGGTCGAACTCCTACTCGCAGAGCAGGGATATCACGGCCCTCAAAGGAGGAGCCAATGCTAATCAATTGCACGTGGGACGGAAACATCGAGGCGAGTAAGCGCATCCAAGGACCAATCACGGATAGCGGTTGATAGTCTTCGAAGAATATGTTCGTTACATCGGAGGATGATTCCCTAGAAGGCAGGAAACCTCGTCCATTATCTGTGGGGCGCTGGGAGGAGGAAGGATATGATTCATAAACAGTTTGAGGAAGGTCGTGGATGAGAGGGACATGTGCTGTCTGCAGCGATTTTGGGAGTAGACCAAGGAGAGACGGGACCTGCACGACGCGTTCATTCAGTAAAAAATCTCAATTTCTCCACCTCGAAAAGAGGGTACAGTCTCAAATAATATAGATTACATACCACATCCTTGGCAAGTCTGATATCTACCCACTCGTCCGTCGAAGCCCAAACATCCAGGAATAGTATATTAGAAGCCTCGACAAGTGCCTTGACTTCGTCCGCCGTTTGTAATCTAAATCGTAGGACGACATCATCGCTGTATCGGGCTTGCAAAGACGCGGGGGCGGAATAGAAAGGATACTGCTTATTTCCCCCTCTGTGATTGCGCTGTTGCGGTGGAACACCCCACAGCCTTTCTATCACGGAATTGCGCAGTCTCGTCCATAGCCCAAGAGGAGCTTGAGGTTGTGATTGTGCGAAAAGCGCAAGTGGTTCCGCAGGATGGGCAGGATAATTGTTTGCAGAGAATGACGGGATGGCAGATATGGTGTTTGCTAAGGCTAGAATAGCCAGCAACGTGCCATGGGTGAATTGACGCATGGCAACAGCGGCTATTCAGGGCAAGATGCAAAGTCCCTTGGTTACAACATTGGAGGCAAAGGAGGGGATGCGATGGTGAATGAATCAGATTGAAGGTGGCGAAATCTCATCGATAGAAGAGACAAATGGCGATTGTGGTCTGGACTGTGTTTTGCTATTTAGCTGCCTGGTTGCTGGGATCGATCCTGAAGCCGGCTGCGGCTTTGGGTTGATGGTGAAAATTGCCAAGTTCGGGCGTCATTGGTCCAAGTTTGGTGCTTGACCCTACAGCGTAGTTAGCTATTTAGTTAGTTACCGAGGTTCATCCCACAATCTTTTTTCCCTTCTTCTTTCACCCTTAACGAAGACTTCCACAGACTGTCCTCACCTCTAAGTCCTATGATAACTGATCCGAAGGCCCTACCTTTTCATGTATCCGAGATACCTCACCAAGCTCACTGCTTCTTCATCGCCAACCTTACGATTAGCTCCTTGTCATTGCTTTCCGCTGGCACTTGGGGGGATTGATAATGTTTATGGTTCCCATTTAGTTCGCCATGAGCAAGCTATTGCTACTATCGGACTCAATATACATGGGATTCTAATGGCAAGGATTTAATCTGGATGTTTCTCCCTCATTTTGATTTGAACCCTAATTCCAGGATCGAGGGGGTACCTACTCTGACATGGAAACAGGACTACGTTTGGCTTGAAACAATGTACGTGTAGTCGTCATGTTGAATCTGTCAATCCTCCCTCCGCCATGGTGCCATTTCGTATGTCAACGCTGTATCCATTCCAATGCCCGCAATGTCAATTAGCCAAGCGAATATCACCTTCCTCGCAAGATCCTAGTACTGAATAGTTCGTCATCAAGAATGAGCGAAACATTATATTTATATTTATAGCTTGAACGTCAAATCGCGTGAACTCGCTACAAGCTTTCTCCAATAAACTTGTTTTTGTCGTCTACCATGGCCAATGGTTTGCATATGAAACTATGCCCTGCCAATTCAACTAAATTCAGGTGACACCGACATGAACTTCAGCATAGATTGCATGGACAGCTTGGTCTCAGCCATCAAGAGTGCTATCAACTCAGGGTATTGCCTCCGCTATTACTATCAATCCTAGACCAATAAGGTGTAATTGCCCCTGATTTCAATCACTATCAACTGTGTCTTATATGGACGTTATACTGTTGTCAATCTTAGCGCCTTTTTAGCGATGTCGTGTGGTGCCACATGGACCAAAATTGCAACAGGGGATAATAATTAAAAGTATAATAAGAGGGAGGCTACTATGTGTATATTAAAAACAGTAGTTATTTGAGTTGGGCAGTTGGTATGTATGAACCAATCATTAAATACCTCGACAGAAAGATGATAAATACGGTGTTTACATTCAGCATTGATGATATACCTAGCTCGGGCGGCAAGAAGTTCACATACCAATATCTTCCGTAGCCACATTGAGCTTGAATATGCAGATCAAGAATATGTCTGTTTTCTAAGCGCCAGTGATATTGCTCTTCCGTCGAAGTTACGTACAGTCCTTCCACATTCTAACATGGATTTCGCCTTCGGTGCAACTCGCCTGTATAGAGGATATCCCTTTGAGATGTACCGTATGGGCTGTATGTGCCCTCCCGTTAAACGATTGGATGGAAGGGACCCATGCAAGTATCACAGGGAAACGGAGAATATTTTACAATAATGATAGGTTGCTAAGCAGCACATGGCAGGTTTACTATTAACTCGGGGCAAAAGCTGGGGGTTTTGGGGACGAATGGAGGAACAAGGAAGCTCTGGCGATGGGAGCTAAAAATAGAATCGCCAATCAGCGGTACGCTAAAAATAGGTTAACTTTAAAACCGCGTGGGGAACAATCGGGGTTGAAGAGGAGACATGACTGGCGGAACTATGACTTGATGCGTGCACCGGCCTGCTTAATTATTATTAATAATTATTCCAAGCGACCACGACTGCCACGAAGAAAATGCAGCCAACAAGTGCTGTTCAATTCGTATCCTCAAGCCAAGCGGTCCACCAACAGTCGATTTAAGTTGTGATCGCATTCTTTAGTGCACGCTCTAATCTAGAACTGATTGATTGCCAAAAAGTAACAGCGTCTACTGTGATCTGGAGGGAGCTTGAGGAGAACATGAAGCAGCAGGATGTGATGGATGATTTAGAAAAAAATAGATCAAATTCTATAGTCAAACAAATGTGGCTCTGATATCGCGGCATTGTTTGACAACTGGCCGATTGTATGATATCATTGGATGGCACGTTGCGAACAGTGAGGGAAAGGAGCTGTATTTCTCGAGCTATCACTGGTCGTTCAGAGCACCTCTCCTATTGATGTCCCGCTGCACTGGTTTGTTTATTCAGGTCATGATTGTAGAACCGGCCCTTCTTTTCTACTCGAACCTACGACTAGATACCCGTGTTTAATTTGCTACTGCCTATGATTTGGCAGAAATAGCGGCTCTCTGCGCGCGGAGTTTCTCGATTTGGGAAGCAATATTGCAGGGTATTGGCTTGCCAAACGACTTGGTAGTTGCTAGGATGAGCTAATGGTGCAGTAGTTGGAGGTTTATCTGTAGCGTGTGATATTTTCCTCAATAAGCTGTGGGTACGTGGGACGTGCCAACACCTGCCAATACAGCCCCTGGTTTGTGTCTCCCGTCCGTTTCTATTTCCGTGAAGAAGAGCTTCCCCTGCATTCGATTTCCTCTCCCCTGGATTGATTAAAAGATGACCTCACGCCCACCTTTGAGCTTGTCTGCCCAATATTCCTCTGTTTATGTTCCAGATAGATGTGATCTTACATTTCCATAACGAAGTTACTTCTGTCTTTCCCTCTTTCATCCCACTAACCACGTCCAAAATGGGTGTCCTCCACCTCGCCAATCCTGCCACATACATCTCCGACTCTCGACCCCGTCTCATAACCACATCCATGATCTCCGAACCCCTGAGTCCTGATCTTGACTCAGACTTCGGCGATGGAGCCCTCCCTACCACCGTCCTCCCCGCTCTAGAGTACATCTCCAACAAGCTTGGCGCTTGCACTCATCTCACCTTCCTCGTCGGTTGTAGCACACCTCTGCCAATCGCCCATCAGTCCGAGCTCACGCTCGCCCCTATTGCTCCATTAGATCAGCAGATATGGAGGACACTCCACCGCATTGTCCAAAAGGCTACAAGGAAATTCTCTCTCGGTCCTGCCTGGTCCAATGCCCTCCAGCGCAGCCAACAGCGCCAGTCCCTGAACGAGAACTGCAACGAGTATCTCATCCGCCAATCTATCTTACAGAACGACGTCCTCTTTAGCCAGGAGGGCCTGACACTCCTGAGCATCGATCGCCTCTATACCATCAAGTGCAGACTGCATGCATACTCACGCGGCCTGGCGCGTGAGAATGGCATCCCCGATCACCTTTACATAAAATCCTGCGTTAGGCTGTTGAGGCAGACGGTCGCAGACTACAAAGGACGACAATTCAGCTTGGCCTTCTTCACCAGGATCTACAAGGACTTGGCAGTTCCCGAGCATCTGCTTGTCGAGGTTGCCAACGAGTATCAGGCCAAGTACGGCCGTGCGGGCATTGTTCTCCCACAGAAAAAGCCTTCGCCCGCTGCTCCACCCAAGGAACAACAACAAGCACGACCACCTCAAAAGAAGCGGAAGAACGCCGATGGTATCAAGAGACTGGCGCCGAGAACTCCATTGAGCGCATCGGATGTCACACCCATCACGCAAGGTGAGTGGCAAATGCTGCTCAACAGCCAAGCGCTGCTGCCGAACAGAAATAATACGCTTCAGGTTCCTTTTCCCGTGAAGCCGGTGGGCGCGTGAATGGCATGATGGTGCGTCGGGGCCTTGGGACCTTGGCACTGAGTAATATAAATCAAGCAACTTGAAAGCTCGGCAAACCGACTCAATCTCCACCTAACAAGCGTCAATCCTCGGCTGCATCTCCCTTTGAATCACCGCTTCCTTGGATATATATTAATTATTGACTGGAAGCTTCTGTGCTCATACGGATTGACACATCCCCTCGAAACAGAGCGAGCTAGCAGAAATATCCTACATCTATATTTCGACGAGAGGAAAACAACAGAAGGAGTTCGAGCTCCTGTCCGATGAGAAAACCGCATCTGTAATAGCGCAGGGCACGTTCCAGCGCTATCAATAATTCGTAATCAAAATTGATTATGAATTTTAGTCCCGGGGTTACAAGACCAATCAATGTTCATGCATTGCAAGGTGCGTGCAGGCAGTGAGCTGTGACATTGTGGGTGAAATTAATGAGTGGAGAGAATGAAGGGGCATGTAGAGAAAAAAAAATGTTTTGGATAACTCTTAATTTAAATAAAAGGGTTTTTTTTATATATATTTAAAAAAATCTGCTAAAATTAAATTAAATTAAATATTTATTTTCTAAAATAGTAAAATACATGTCATAGTTTCTAAGCCGCCGGGTCCGGGCTCTTACCAGCGTAGGCCAGAAGACCACGAGACGACTGGTTCCTGTCAGCCGCGCCCGGCACTCATCCTTATATAGTGATGGCTCGCCTGCGCCTGCCCCCAGTCCCGGGCCCTAATTCTCTGTAGTTAATTTTAAATTCTCTTATAAATAAAATAATTATAACTAGAGATAGTAATTGAAGAAAAAAATCAGAGTTTATTATTTCGATCATGCGTTTGTGTGGTGTCACAATAGTGGGGTAGTGGGGCCGTGAGTACCTTGAGCATTTTAAGCTCATCAATAAGCTTTTCGCTAAATGAACACATAACTATATATAAACTTCCCCGCCAAATATTTTCCGTGCCTCACCTCTTTCTCGACGTAACACTATTAAGTACAGAAGACAAGGATGGGATCCACGGCTGCTACTCCAAGAACTGACACAGTGTCATCCAGATCAACTCCTTTGCCCTGCGCAGTGGCCCAAGAACATGAGCGGGGTAATGAGGTTGGATATGGTGAAGCTGAAGCTGAACCAGAACTGGAAGAAGATGACGACAATGTGAAATCTCTCAAGCACAGTCTACTCTGCAAGGCGAAGCGGTCGCATAACCGCGTACCGGGTCTGCGGAGGATTCCCCTCCCGGCGTTGGGTATAATTTTGCTCGTTGCGGTGGTTAATGCGGTTGTATGGGCGGCTGCGGGAATTGTGTTGGTATGTATATACTCTACCCTTTCATTCTTAAAATGAAAGGAGGATTAGTGTCTGTTTAAGGAAATGAGATAGGCTAACTTTTTGGTGCTTCTTTTGGAAATGTGCCTGTAGAGGTTTCATCCGTAAGTGCTACGTCATGTTTCCCCTATATCCTAGTTTTGCAAACGATATATACCATATAGGGTTTGGCAAGTTCAAGACAAACAAAGCTGGGAGCGAACGAGCAAATGAAAAAAATCCTAAGCTGTGTTAAATGCCAAATGCTTATACCATGGTCTACTTCATAGTTCACTCATATCCACAGCTGTGCTCTCTTACACGCTAGGATTAAGACATGCGCTCGACGCGGATCACATCTCGGTATGTTCAATATCACAACAGTGATGTTGGCATCTATGCATACTTACATACAACTAATTCATCTTCTAAATTACGTAGGCCATCGACCTTATGACTCGAAGACTTCTAGCAACTGGTCAACAGGCGGTCACTGTCGGGACATACTTCTCTTTGGGACATTCTACGTGAGTTTTTTCGTGATGTATTTCTGTACCGAATTGCTATATCCCATACTAGCAAGCTAACAATCGGCGTATAGCATCGTTATTATTACGTCCATCGTCGTCGCTGCGACCGCCGCCGCCGTGTCCTCGAAATTCGATAGCTATAGCAGAATCGGGGGCATTATTGGGAGCTCTGTCAGCTCGGCATTTCTGATTCTGCTCGGTATCATGAATGCATACATTCTGTATAAGCTTGTTCAACAGATGAAAAAAGCCCTTCACCTGAGGGAAGGGGAGGAGGATGAGGTGTGGAAGGTTGAGGGAGGGGGCGTGTTGTTTAAAGTGTTGAAAAAGATGTTCAAACTCATTGATCGGTGAGTTTTGAATAGCCCCTTTGTGTTCTTCCATATTCTAACCCACAATTTCTTTAGGCCGTGGAAAATGTATCCGCTGGGAGTTCTTTTCGGCCTTGGCTTCGATACCTCGTCTGAGATTGCGCTTCTAGGAATCTCGTCAATCCAAGCTACACGTGGGACTGATTTATGGGTAATTCTAATCTTCCCGATTCTTTTCACAGGTAAGATGGCCACCATTGTCGTCTATATCCACAATATGAAATTTGCTAACTGTAATATTCCTGCCATTCTTTAGCCGGAATGTGCCTCATCGACACCACGGATGGCGCCCTAATGCTATCCCTCTATGTCCAACCAGCGCAAAATTTTCTCCCACCAAAATCCTCCTCCTCCTCTTCCATAACCAACTTCACCATCCAGCCTTCACCCCCGGAGCAACCGCAAGGCACCAGTCGCGCGATAGCTGCCGGCCCAAGTCGTAACCCACGTAACCCAATAGCATTCCTCTATTATTCTATTGTCTTGACGTCCCTTACCGTGATCGTGGCTATAGTCATCGGCGTCCTCCAACTGCTGACCTTGATCCTTAACGTGACAGAGGCTACAGGAAAGTTTTGGGAAGGCGTGGGGATCGCAGGTGACTATTATGATGTTATTGGCGGGTCGATCTGCGGATGCTTTATCTTATTTGGCGGGCTAAGCGTGTTGGTGTATCCTTATTGGAGGCGTTGGGTAGCTCAGCGACATGAACGGCAGGGACACTGGGTGCATGACACTTTAGAAGAGGGGAGAGGAGACGGTGTAGGGGTCGAGACGGGTCACAGAATTGCTACAACTACTTCTACAATTCCCGCAGAAAGCTTGAAAGGGGCTGGTGGAGACGGCGGTAAGATAGGATGGGATGGTTGTCAGTAGAGAAGCGGCAGATGGATTGATATAGGGATAATCTAACGTGGAGGACGGGGAATATTTTGAAGGTTAACATTTGAATGAGGTTATATATGGACCGTACAGCACATATTTACATTTACTGATAGTCTATAGATACGATGTGTATATGGGATGAAAGCTAAGGCTAGATTGGGAAAGACTAAAAAACGACGTCATCGATGCCAAGGGAAATTACGGGGTGCTTATGTCATCAGTCAGGTTTCTCCTCTTTCAAGATACGAACTTCGGACAGAAAATCTCCCACCATCGAGTTTGGCTATGTTTACCAGTGGGATGTTTCTGGGCTTCTGGAATGATGTCTATCCGTCTCCTAGATACATAGCTTTATATATGGGCGCAGGTTCCTTCAGCTGGTCTGCCAGCGATGCGGCGGCTCTGAATCCCAGATAATCCTGGACCTTCACCCAACTGCTTTCTAGCCTGTTTCGATCAAATAACCTGATTAAAATTTGATACTCATAGGCTCTCCGTATATACACTATGGGTGTTTTGCTCATCTTTATATTTCCTTCTACTTGTCAATACTATTGTTCCATTCTATTTTCCGCCGCTACATGCATAGCCGCTTCATGTCCCGCTCAGGAGCAAACCCCCACACTACACTACAACGGCAGATGGATATATAAGATTGTATCTCCATGCGTCATGACAACTACTAAAACCCAATCCAAATCATCTGGCACTTTGGCCAAAACAATCAACCTCGCCAGCCTTCCGTCCATATATGTCTTGCCCACGCACTTGGATCTGGACCAGCTGCATGAAGTGGAGGAAACGCTGGAAAGATGTGGTGCACAGCTCACCTACGACATCTCTGAAGCTGAGCTAGTCTTGGGCAAAGTGTTGCAGAAGAGACGTGCTGCGTTTGAGCTTCGATCTAGGGGACTATGGACTGAGGAAGTTTCGGCGCCCACGGTTGTTACTACTGCTGCGTCGGAAGCAGGCCCGTCAGTGAAACGGCGGCGGGTTAGCGGCGTAAAGGATGTGCATGAGCATGAGCATGTACATGTACAACCGGCTCAAGAGCCTCTTGTGGTCGATCTGAGGATGGAGTCGGAGGGCGAAAATGTGGATGCAGGCGAAGGGGCTGAATCACGCCCTAAGCGGGTGCTTAAACCGTCAAAATCACCGGCTGATAGCTCATTCAATCCAAAGATGAAGGACGGTATCATAATTTTAAAATTTTCATGGCTGGACGATTCCCTTAAAGCAGGGCACGCCGTACCGCTGGCTCCATATATTGTTTACCATGCGCGCAAAGTGGCTCCACGGGACAATATCTCAGTCGATGGAACTTCTTCGAACGTTACTTCTGTAGTGGCTAGCCCACGGTCCCCACTCAGGCCAAGAGAGAGCCCGTCAAGGGCAATTTTGGAGCGGGCAAAAGCAGATGCGGCATCGTCACCAGCCCCAAACCATTTTTCTCCTGGCACTGCTAGATCTCGTCGGGCTAGAGTTCAGCATGGGCCTCCTGCTCAGAAGGAACCTCCCAGGCTTCTCCGTGAAACCACGGAAGAACATGAAGCTGCAGAGACCGGGCCTCCAACCCCTGCCTGGGTTCGCGACAAGCTTATATATGCCTGCCAGAGATCTGCTTTCCTCAATCCTCCAAATGAAGCGTTCATAAACCAGCTCATCAAGATCAAAAAAATACGCGAGCTAACCCTTGATGAAATTGGTGTCCGCGCATACAGCACAGCAATTGCCGCCATTGCCGCATATCCCTACAAACTCCAATCACCAAAAGAAGTCTCCACACTACCAGGCTGCGAATCCAAAATTGCTATACTCTTCTCAGAATTTAACCAAAGTAAAGATGGCACGCTCGAATCTGCCAACCAGCTAGACACAGACCCAGTCCTCAGCGTCCTCAACCAATTTTACAACATCTGGGGCGTCGGTGCCAAAACGGCACGCGATTTTTATTACCACTACCATTGGCGGAGCATCGATGACGTTATCGAACAGGGCTGGAACATGCTTTCCCGCGTTCAGCAGATTGGCATCAAATACTTCGACGAATTCATGGCCGGCATCCCGCGCAGCGAAGTCGAGTCAATCGCTGACATTGTCCTACAGCACGCCAAACAGGTCCGACCGCACTCGCAGAAGGATTACGACGGCAAAGGCATTGAATGCATCATTGTCGGCGGCTACAGGCGTGGCAAGGAAGTTAGCGGCGATGTCGATCTCATTCTCTCCCACCGTGACGAGAGAGTGACACACAACCTCGTCTACGATGTCGTTGCCAGTCTTGAGAAGGAAGGCTGGATCACGCACACGCTCGCCTTGCATCTTACTACTTCGCATCGGGAGCAGCAGACGGCGCCTTACCGTGGCGATACAGGCGGGAAGCCGCGTTTTGA